TGAAGTCAGTTATGTCGTGGTAACAATATTTAAATCTTAAATGAAACATCCTGTATATTTTGTTTAAAAATGAAATTCCGTTTTAAATTACCAGTTTCAACTTTTTACCGTTTCAGATATAAAGACTGTATGAAACTCCGTGGACCATCCCTATTACATGGGACATTGGAGCAAGTGATACTTTTAAGTGCTAATTGCACAAGGCCAAAACTTGTGCCATTAAATAAAATCATCAAGTCTCAAAAATATTACGTTTTTTACTTATACAACAAAATTATTTACGTATATTGGACGCGAAGTTTTTGTCAAAAACTTACTGATCCTATAAACATAATTAAATTTATCCTTGAATATTCTATTAAACTAATCTCGTACCTCTGAGAAAACAATTTTCCTCATTATTGTTTTTTGTTTTTTTTTTTTGTTTTTATTTATTTAAAAATTAATATCATCTTTACTATACTTTTAGTATACAGCTATTTTTCAAATATTTATTTTGGTAAATGTTTTGATTTTTTTTTAATAGTTATGTATATGAGTAAAACTATTTCAAATAATTTTTAAATTTCTTCATAATAAAAAACTTTTTCTAGATCTAACACTTTGATACAGTAAATTGTAATTTTATTTGTATATACAGTAAATTCATCAAAAATATTCATTTAAATGGCTTTTCTTGTTGTCATTTATTTTTTATATAAAATTACTGTTTTTCTGTTTTTTGAAAGATATTAAACAATATTTTCAAAATTTAAGCTCACCAGATAAAATGTATACGAAAAAACATGCGAAATTAACATCCAGCTTCCAGAGTCTGCCTCAACATAAAAAAAACAAATTATGATAATTAAAATTCCCTAATTCCAAAAATTATTTTGCTCTTTATTGGACAAAACACGATAAAATTGATTTAAATCATTTTTCACATTAAAAATTTGATAAAACGTTAATTTATTTACGCCCAGAAAATCTTTAACTGAACTGTTTACTATTAAGCTGGGATTTCATAAAGTCTTCAACAATTTTCGCACCTTTTAAATCAAATAAAATCATCAAGTCTCAAAAATATTACGTTTTTTACTTATACAACAAAATTATTTACGTATATTGGACGCGAAGTTTTTGTCAAAAACTTACTGATCCTATAAACATAATTAAATTTATCCTTGAATATTCTATTAAACTAATCTCGTACCTCTGAGAAAACAATTTTCTTCATTATTGTTTTTTGTTTGTTTTTTTTTTTTTTCATTTATTTAAAAATTAATATCATCTTTACTATTTTCTATTTCTGCGTTTTTGTTTGTTTATATCTACAGACTGTCAAACTGTGACTGTCCCTAAACCACAAAAAAATATCAACACTCACAAAAAGTTTTATACAAAACTGGTAAGTATAAAAATAATTCTGCCAGGATAGTATTTATTTTTTAAACATCTTGATATAATACAGAGATAGAGTGATTCGAAAATACGTGCCATAAATCAGCATGCACAGATTTTCACTAGATATTAAAAATATATATTTAGGATATTAGTTATTTCAAAGACGTAATTCATTATCAATTAATCATAACAAACTAGTATAGTTTTTATACTTTTAATAATGTTTCTAACCCTGAATTTCGTCAAAATTTGTATCTTACTTTCTATAAAAAATGATTCTTTGTCCAACGCCTGAAAAGTCTCCTTATTCAGATGTTTTAATTTGTGTACCACCTTCGTATTCTCAAAGAACAATTAATGACCAATTTTTACACATTTAGTCAAAGAACAAATCAAGTCTCATACTAGGGCCTGCTGCCAAATGTTAGATATGGCAAAACTGAGGTGATGTTACAAAGCTGTTATTAGATGTTACTTAATTTGGAAAACAACTTTTTGTTATTAGTTTTACAAAGCAAAAGTTACTCTTTATACTCATACAAAGTTCTGCATGGTCCAAAACCTATAATGAAATTATCAGATAACAAAATTTCATGCGGGGTATGTAAAGTAGAACCAGAAATCAGTATTAGCTGACGACCTATTGTTTGAGATGTAGATAAGCAATAAAAGTGAGTTGTCCCTCAAAAGATTCCCTGGCCCATTATTGTTTGTCTTTTGTTGACAGTTTTGTATTTAAAACTAATTCATAATATAAAAATCTCCTAGGGTTTATTTAGAGCACTTGGTAAGGATATGTTTATTATAGCTATTAAGAATTAATTGTATATCCATAAAGTTATGCATACATTCATTTTTAGGAAAATAAGTTATTTTATCGAATTAAATAATATGCAACATTTTCTTTATGTACTTTTCGCTATTTTGAAAAATAATACCATTTTTGCAAAATTGTCAAATTTTACATTTTTAAAGTCATGTGATTGACCATTTACATGTCATTTGTTATCATTTTTTGAACCTAAAAAGGATAGCAGTCAAAATTTATCTACAGCAATTAGGAAAAAGTCCCATATGATGCGGACTTTATGTGCGACACTATCATATAAGGGGTTTGGAATTGAAGGGGCATAAGTGCACTTTTTCATTTTTTTTTTGAGTTTACAAATTTGTAAACTTAAAGTATTATTTTATTTGGTAAAGAATAGGTACAACTGAATTTATGTTAAATAAAGCTATCTATCGGCATGTAAAAAAATGATGTTAAAATAAGCTACAGAAATCTTTATTTTACATGGATATAAGTGCGCTTATATCTCTTTAATTCTAACATGCTCGTGACAATTTTTTTGACATTGATATTTTTATAATAATCTATGCATCTTTAGTGTAATACAAAAGAATGTTTAAGCCACATGCATATTTACTATATGTCATTAAAGATTGACACAATGCAAAAAAGCGATAGTGATGAAGGTAAGTACTTATTTTCTGTTTTAATTAAAGTAAATATTGATATTTTTGGTTTTTATATCTTTTAAACGATTTTTTGGCAGACCTGTCGAATTTTCTTTCAAGCTATCGAAATGCCGATAACCCTGGTTTAAACTAAAAATTCCGGGTATGTTGACAGCATGATATATGAATAAGGGTAATATTAATAAATTTTAAATAAAATCATGTTTTTAGGATCTGTGGACCCCTACAAAACCGATGAAGATCCTCTACGAACCAGAGGAAGAAAAAAGAGGGGACGATGATTCAAAATTTCAAGATGAGGAATCAAGAAAAATGATAAAAACCAACAAGAGAGTAATAACAGAAATAGAATGGCAGAATAAAAAAAGAAAGAGGCTACGCGATTCTGATAAGGAATACTTCTGATATAAGAAAAAGATTCACGTTGCTCGTCCTGTGAAACCTTATAATTATAGTTGTAGATATCCCTATAATGAAAATATTACAGAAGAAGACTGAATAAAATCAACACAAAATTCAATTTAAGATTTCATCGACCCAACTCAGATAAGTGTAGTAAATGTGAGTTTTCAAAATATAATAAAATATTCTACAGACTTTGAAAAAGTTCAGAGTGTTAAACTACAACAAAAAGTACATCAAAGAAAATCCGAGAAAACCGTCGTTTATAAAAAAATACCGCATACAACTCTATCAAATCAGCAGCCACACACAAGTTATTTGTTTTGACCTTCAACAAACGCTACCTACTCCTTTATTAACCACTTCAAAAGTGTTTTACTTGAGGCAGCTTTGAACTTATAATTTCTGCGTGGAGTGAAAGTATTTCATGCAGGGGATCCCAAGAAATAGGGTCTTGCCTTATTCACATTACAAAGATTCTTCCAGAAAATGTCACGAAGCTCATTGCTTATAGCGATTCTTGCGGTGGGCCGAACAAAAACAGGAATATTGTTAAGATGTTTATGTTCTTGGCTAAAGCTACCTATCTACAAGAAGTACACCACAAATTTCTGGAACCTGGGCACTTTCATTGAGTGCGATACAGATTTTGGCCTAATTGAAAAGGATAAATGAATTTTCATTCCGGAACACTAGATAAAAGTTATACAATCATCTTGTAAAAAATTTACAGTACATGACTCTAGTAGATTTTTACTCTTTTCAGAAGCTAAACGATGCAATTTCGGATCCGAAAAAAAGACACTGATTGTCTCAAAAATGGAGGCAGGTGCAGTATTTTAAATTTGAAAAGTCGACCGAAACATATTCGTTTTCTTTTAAAGCTACCTTGGAAGAAGAATTTCCATTTAACATATGCGTTTGCTCCTCCAAAATTAGCGGTCGACCTAGGTTTAGGTTAGAAGAAATATTTATGCATAATATAAATCAAGAGATGCTTAAAATAAGTAGAAATGGGACAATTTTGGAATACATCCCCCCGATGTACCACGACTTCTAACGAAACCTCCCTCACGACTTACGGAAGAATAAAAGGGCAGTGAAAAAACATTAGGTAACGGGCGACTTTTGTCTTTAAACGAGTCTACTTCAGCGCACCATGGATCATCAACTCCAGTTGAAGAAAAAGAGCCAAATGAAGATTTAACTCCAGTCGAAGAAAAAGAGCTAAATGAAGACGTCATTGAATCTGACTGAAAATTAATAAGACTATTTTTTTTTTTTAATAAAAATAACTTATCTTTCTTATAAGTTATAATTAAAAGAGCATAAGTGCATGTTTTCTAATATTTTTACGTTTTTGACACAGACAGATTTGACATTTACATACAACACATATATTTATAACATCTTTATCTATCATACTAACGACCAGAAGTCGTGTAGTTGATCTTAGGAAATTTTAAAACAATACTTAACTTTAGAATTCAAAATCTCATTAATTAGAAAACTGTACTTATACCTCTTCAATTCCAAACCCCTCATGTATTATATATAAATAAATAATTCTAAATTATATTGAAGCAATTTTTTTAATAATTATTTTAACCCAATTTATCATTATACCTATAGAATAGAACTTAAAGGTTAGAGTAGGTAAGTCTCTGAGTAGAGGTGACCGTCTGCTAACTCAAATGGTTGATGTTTTATAACATTTTTAAATTTTTGTATTCGTTACAAATACCATATAAGATGACATTGTTGCTAACAAATAAAAGTTGCAAATTGTAAAAATATTGAGAAATTCAATTACGTTATTTTAATATTATCAATAAAAATCAAGATGTGAAGATTAATTATTCAATATTTTTATTAATAATTATATCAAAAATGAGTGTATCAATCTAAAATTGGATCTTCGTTATTAAACACGTTATTAACATTTTTCATTGCCAAAGTTATGAATTTCGTGATGGTTAACCAAAAACATCAGAAAAAGTTAATTCTGTAATAGGCTATTAATTATGTCCTAAAAAAGTGGGCATTTTATCACATGGTCATTAAAGATGAAAAAGTGCTATTGAATTAGAGGGTGGAAATTGAAAATTGGGGTAAAAATGCAACCCTTACAATTTCTCAATAATATTTCGAAAACGAAGCAAAATTTAGGTATAGTTAATAGGAAGTTTTTGTAGAAAATCAGATTTTTCATCGAAATAGTTTATTTAAAACATCAAAAAAAAATTTTTTTGTGTGTAAAAAATATTAAAAAATAAAATCAGATTTTTCATCAAAATAATTTAACACATCAAAAAAAATTGTTGTACCAAATTAGGACTTGTCGATACTAATTGTATATGGACTTAGAAATTTTATCTGAAATTCGTAAAAGAAATAGAAACGAACCATTTTTTATCATAATGCAAAATCTTACCTCATACACATCACAATAGACATTGGAATTAATATCTCATTCTCCATACACCCCTGGTTTAAATCATAATTACTTCTTTATGTTTTCAAGATTAAACGATTCTAAACACCAGGAAATGCAGTTCAAGCATTTAAAAATGAAATTAAAGACTATACAAATTGATTTATTAGCATGAAAAACTATGTATGACTGAGAGGACAATTTTGAAAAGAAATAAAATAATGTTTGGTCCCTTTTATCCTGAAATTTTAGCAACAATCATTCATTCATTTTTTTAAAAATACCAAATGTGATACGCGATTATTGTTAGTTTTTTTGATATGCCTATATAATTTTCAAATTTTTTGATTTTTAAAATTGATTTCATTAACCTAGGAGTAGAGTTGTATGAAAGTTAAAACAGTCAGTGTATAAGGGGTGTGAAGTGGTTGAGAAATAGATCTGAATATTATACTGGTGGGTAGGTATATTGTAGGCATGTAATTCGGTCATAATTGTCTAATTATTTCATTATCAGGTAGTTTAAACATTTTGGCATCTATAATAGATTACAAAAAAATTACAGTTGCTACAAAAAATATGATAAATAAAATAAGAAGGACTTTTACAAAATATAACGAGCAAATTAAGAATACAGAATTCACATAATTTTTGCAAATTATTTAATATTAAATAATTTCTGCATGTAAATATGATTTCTTAAAAATAAAGTAACTGCATGCAGGTTTTGAATATGTCTTCACGTTATACAAAAGAAAATATTATATTTTAACATCTTGTGAAAATCTTCCAATTTACGGTCATGACTTTCCAATCACCCTAATAATTAATTGTCCACCCATTCATTAAGTAATCAACATATTTTCCCGGTTAGAAACAGCCCACAAATCGACACAGCTTAAACCTTTTAATCTTCCGTCACTTTCCAGTTTAACAATTTACCTGTTTCATACAATTCGGCCAACGCGTCACCAACCTTGTTTTGCTCTTCGAGTTGTTTGTACTTCTTAAACAGTTGGAGGGCGGCGCGTGCATCTTCGACGGAATCGTGTGTCTCCGATTGGATTTTTATGCCTTTTAAAAAAGAGAAAAATAATTAATTCATTATATAATCACTGTTTTGGCGTCCAATATTTTATTAAAATTATAATTTCACTTTTTATTTTACACGAAGATGATTTACGAGGGCGGATTAATATTGAAGCTAACTAGCGCTAGATGGCAGCACAAACACAAAAACTTTTTTTTTAGAAATTGCGATCTGTCAAACCTCAGCTGTTAAAATTTCACCCAAATTCATCGATTAGTTTATTTGTTGTAGTCGTTTGAAGTAAGCAACTTTTGTTTCTTGAAAAATGGAAAAAAGTGAATTTCGTGCAGTGATTAAACACTATTATTTGAAAGGGAAAACGGCGAAAGAGACAAAAGCAAAGCTCGATAAACATTACGGTGAGTCTGCTCCGTCAGATTACATGGTAAAATATTGGATTGCTGAATTTAAACGCGGCCGAACAAGCACTGCAACAATACCATCAACAGGAAGGCCAAAAGAGGTGGTTACTGAAGAAAATATCAAGAAAATCCTCGATAACGTTATGAATGATCGCCGAGTCAAGTTACGTGAGATTGTTGAAATGGTAAACATATCATATGAACGTGTGTTCAACATTTTGCATGAACATTTGCATATGAAAAATCTATCGGCAAGATGGGTGCCGCGTTTGATCAGTGTCGAACAAAAACGAGTTCGACAGACCACTTCACAGCGGTGTTTGGACATGATAAAGCGTAATCCTGTTGATTTTTGGCGTCGATTAATAACTGTTGATGAAACGTGGGTCCACCACTACACACCTGAAACCAAAAATCAATCGAAACAATGGGTGGAAGCTGGTGGAAGTGCTCCGAAGAAGGCGAAGACAGTGAAATCGGCTGGCAAGGTTATGGCCACTGTATTTTGGGATGCACACGGAATATTGCTCATCGATTATCTTGAAAAAGGATCCACAATGACAGGAAAGAATTATCGTGCATTATTGGATCAATTGATTGATGCAATCAAGAAAAAACGACCACATTTAAAGAAGAAAAAAGTGCTCTTTCTTCAAGACAACGCACCGGTTCACACAGCATTAGATACGATGCTAAAATTACGTGAAATACACTTCGAATTGGTTGATCATCCACCTTATAGTCCAGATTTAGCTCCTAGTGACTTTTTTTGTTTCCAAACTTGAAAAAATGGCTCGCAGGAAAAAGATTCATCTCAAACGAAGAAGTGATTACCAAAACTAACGCGTATTTTGAGGGGTTCCCAAAATCGTATTACAGATGGTATAAAAAAAGTTGGAATATCATCTTACTAAGTGTATTGAGCTAAAAGAAGACTATGTTGAGAAATAAATGGTTTTTGAAAAAAAAAAATGTTTTTTTCCTACTTAGGTAGCTTCAATATCAATCCGCCCTCGTAATGGGACATCAAGGTACCATTTCGGAAGGCGCGACAGACGACAACAGACGCGACAGCATAGGAGACAGATGCATTTACGTTAGTGCGGTCGTACACCAAGGAAACATCAAACATGCAACTTGCAACGTGCGACATGTAGTAAATACCGCGGGCAGACTTGTGCCGCATAAATCCAATCTAAAAATGTACATGTTCTCGGAATCATCGAACATCGGTGAAGCGTAGGCACGTAGTACGCATGTGTCTTGCAACATAAACCGCATGTGATTTTCTGTGCATGTCGCCGAAGTATTTGTCGCGTGTTTGAATGGAAAAGATCTTCTCTGTTGTTTGTTAAAATGGCTGACGATCCAACTTTTAACATTAATTTTGTAAAATTTATGGAAAAGCATCCTTGCATTTGGAATTACACTTTAAGCGAATACAGTAAACGCAATTTAACTGAAAGAACATGGGCAAGTGTTGCTAATGAAGTAAAAGACTCAGATAAATATAATAATTTATTTTTTTACATACATTGCTGGTTCCTTGACTTCGACTACTCATTTTTCAGGAAAAATTTAATCTCATGTAAAATCAACGGTAATTAAATTATCAAGATGTGGTTTGCAACGAGGTTTTAAAAATTTTATTGACAATTTTTAGCCTAAACAACTTTATTGTACTGAATTCCAGAGATGTATATATAGAGTATTTTTTAAAATTATCTCAAAAATGGAAAATTTCTTCCCAAAATTTATAAAAACTGAAAAGGCCCTTTTTTGACATTTTTATATTTTATAAATCAAGGAGAAGAAAACTAATTTGGCGGATTTTCCACATCTGCTCTAGTTTTAAATTACAGGGTATTTTTTAAAAATGTCACCCTATTTCTTAATTCTAATCCGCCACACAAACTTTTCAAAGACTGAATATACAGAAGTAAATATGTATATACGGGACTTCTAAAAATAGTGATTTATTGTATAAATTTTATTTACAGAATAATGCGATTTTTTTCGATGTAATTGATTGATCGTTGGCTTACACACAAAAAAAAAAGAAGTTTTAAAGGCCTAATTGTAAAAAATAAGGTTTTAGATATTTCTGCCGAAACGGGGTTTTTGGAATTTAGGACAATAAAGTTATTTAGGTAGACTATTGCCCACAAAATTACAAAAACAGCGATGTAAACCGCATCTTGATAAATTAATTACTTTTGATTCGACATGAGAATAAATTTGGCCCAAAAAAACTCAGTTGTGCAAATCAAGCAGTGTATATTAAAATATTAAATACAGTTATTAGAAAGTTAGTAAATGCAATAAACTATGCGTATTTCCATTGTATTGATCCTTATCGTGTCATAAAATATTCAGCTAATGATTTACGAAGTTTCATTGCTGGTATTGTTTCGCGGTATCCGTTTTGAATTTCATTTATGTGTGGAAGGATTACATTGTCTTCGAAATGCGTTGGACTGGTGAATTTTCCTTTCCGTATTCTAATATAATTATGTAAAACGCACGCGGCTTTCACAATTTTTTTTACAATTTCTTCCTCACAACATATTGGTCCCTCGAATATACGGAATTTAGAAACAAGTATTCCAAATGTACACTCGACGCTTTTTTTTCCCGGAAAGTCTGAAATTGAATATTCTTCTTCTAGGGGTCAAAACTCTTTGTGGATAAGTCCTCATTAAATATGACAAAGGAAACGCTTCATCTCCGCATATGTAATAAGGGAAAGGATCTCCATTATATTATTTGGTAAATGTGTAGGCTCCGGAATTCCTATTTTTTGCTTTTTTAATATTTTACCAATATGGGACGATTTAAAAACAGTTCCATCACTATTGCGTCCTAAATCACCTACATCAATTGTTACGAATAAACTATATGCATTAGCAGTAGCCATCAATATCATAGAAAAAAGCCTTTGTAATTAAAATTACTGGATCCACTATTGGCAAATTTTTTTACACGAATATGTTTTCCATCAATTTGGTAAATTTCACAATTCATAATACCACTGAACGTTCGTTCCTCATCAGGCGTAGGCATAAATAATGGTTGCAAACCTTTCCAAATAGCATCACATGTTTCCCTGACTATTCTGCCTACAGTTGTATATCCTCTGTAGAATTGGAACGAAAGACTTTTAAAACTGTCACCCGTTGTTAAATATCTGAAAAACAAAAAATAGTTTATTACTCCTTTTCAGTTTAAATGGTTAATAAAAGTTTTCTTTTTCAGTATGAGACTGTCGTAAACGTTGGCGAAACATAAGAGGGGCATTCCAGCGATCTCTCAAAAAACCACCAAGCGGATCTGGTGCAAATGCAAAATAAAATTGAAGATAAGGATATTTTTTCGCCTTGTCCATCAACTTCAAATATAACTTCACCATCATCTAGTGTTTATTGTCCAAGACCAAGTTCAAGTGAGTTTGTCCGAAGTGTGCAGTGGCCCATGAAAAGCCCCAGAATTCCAGTACAGGGTCCAACACCAAACCCGAATGAGTCAAGATCCGAATGGTCAGTGGAAGAAGAGAGAAATAATTACGGATATTCACACAGACCAAGTCCAAATGAGTCTGTCCAAATTGTACAGTGTCCCATGCAAAGTCCCAGAATTCCAGTACAAGGTCCGATCCCAAACCCGAATGAATCAAGATCCGAATGGTCAGTGGAAGAAGAGGAAAATAATTATGGATATTCACACAGTTTAATGACTAATCAAAATAGTTGGCAATAATTTTTTTAAATAATTACCTGAAGCAATATGTTTTTCTATGAAAATGATATTTTATTTTTGTAATACATACCTTAATGTTATTAATAAACGTTCTTCTGGAGAAATTGCCTCTCGATAGTTTGTATCCAATTTTTCTATTCTTGGTCCTATAAGTTCAGCAATACTTTAAAACTTTGCTGATTCATTCTATAAAATTCTTTAAATTTTTCCGGATTGAGAGCCAGTTGTTTCTGTGCAACAGTTACTGGGCTGTGCGCTGGTTATGAACAAATAATGGCTGAATCCAGTATCGACGCATTATTTTACGTTTACGTCGATTATGCAAAAATTGCCAAGCTACAACCACATCCTCCTCGCTTGACGACATATTGAATACTGCAAGTGCTTAAATTTTTCCATCTGTGTCTACGATGTTTAGCAACATAAGATATTTACTTCATGTCGCACGTTGCATGTTTGCTTGGTGTACGACCGCACTTACACTTCACACAGTTGGGAAGCAAGGAGACAGGCGACACGACAACCGCAGACAACAATTCAAGGGAACGATCAGTGTTGCCAGACCTACTGTTTTTAAGTAGATCCACTGTTTTTGTCTCTGTTCTCCTGTTGTAGGCATGAAATCTACTGTTTTCGCAAACTTAACAAATTTTGTTCTTAATTTATTAAGTTTGTTTTATTCTTTAGCAAATGGCCAAAGAATATTTTCTCTAGTAAATTTGCTGAAGTAAAAGCAGCGTAATAAGCATAAACTACTGTAGGTTTGCTCCATAAAAAAAAACTCAAAATAATCATGTTTTTATTTAAAATGCAACAAAGAATTAATAGGGGTTCATAAAAAGAACATGCATGCCAAACACAACGTATTTGAATTATCTGATTCAGACTGATCTAAAAGAAATATCTATTATTTTTCATTGGTTTCTTTTTTGTTTCCGTATGTTAAGTATATATTAAAAATGTTATTATTTGTTTTTATTCTTTGTTAACTTTCTAATTTGGGTATTAAAATGATTATTTTTCGTTTCTTATATACTTGTTTTTTTTTTATTAACTACACTGCAAATTATAATTATTTTCCCCCGTATTAAAATCTACTGTTCAGATCTACGGTTTTTTTTTCACCCATACTGTTCCAGCAAATTTTCAACTTGCAACACTGCCCAGGATAGAACTTCGCAGCTACCATTTCTATAAAATATCGACTAATCACCTCGAAATACAAGCGATGACTAAGCGAGACAGACAGAAAACGCTACCCCGAGACCAATCTATTTGTCGTCGACTTCTGTCTCTCGGACATGTTGCGCCTTGCGAAATGGGTTTCATATAATTGCATTTGATCAGACGTGAAGAGACCGTTCTTGGTCTCCTTTGATGTCGCGTCTGTTGTCGTATGTCTCTGTCGCGCTTTCCGAAATTGTATCTTTAGACTCGACTACTAGCACTCCCAAGTAAGTGGAAAAATGGGCATTATTTTCGACCAGTGCCTTTTTAGATTTGTTCCAACGAATAACTTTGGTACCATTCTCTGAATAGTCATAAAACTTCTTGGACTAATTCAATGTACAGCTGCTGATTTCGGACGCTTATTGAAATTAAAATGTACCGGGTATTAACAATAACAATGGTAAACTAGAATATAATTCAGATATAATATATTTAAATATTAAATAATAAATATAGCAAATATAACTCAATTAATATCAGATGTTTGCTGTTACAATCCTGCATTGAACTTTGAACTTGAAACGTGGCATTTTTAACAGTACGAAATCTTTACTTTAAATTCACTCACCTTGTCTAAATAAACAAAAAAGGTAAAAAAAACGTTATTTAGTGCTGATATAAGCTTTTAAAGCTATTATTTTATTTTGTTGTAAACTAGCAGTATGTGTTGACTAGAGTTTCTGACTTACTGGTGTCATTTTTATTATTTAATTTACGTTATCAATAGGAAGGAGTACAGGAATTTATTCCTGGTACCTAAGTTGTAATAAAAATAATAATAATACTCTCCCTAATTCAACCCGTTACGAGAAAATTTCAACCCCTAAAGCTGACTGAGCGACTTATGTAGGGAAAGGGACGTGGCGCTCCGGGGCGACTTATTGACGGCGCCATTTGACTTACAGGGGAGGAAAACTCTGAAAACCCCACCCACTATCATCGAAATAGTAACGCATGGCGATTTTTATAATCTGGATGGCGTAGTAACAGAAATTAAATTTTAATTACTACAAAAAAAATTAAAGAAATACTATTTTTTTTCAGCACTTAACTATGTCGTCAAGAAAAACAGTATATAAGACTATAACCACATTTTGAATATTGTCCTACTCTGTTGTACACATCTGATTTAAATAAAATGAGAACCCTACAAAAACTGCAGAATCGCGCAATGATGATTATGTTGAAATGTAACAGGTATACCCCGATATCATTAATGCTAAATACTCTAGAATAGCTATTGAAAGCAGGCTTACATATTTAACTATGATATACATACATAATCTTTTACCATCATATTTCAACAAATTTGTAATTTTTAATAATCAACTGCATCAGTATAATACTAGAATAAGAAATAATTAAACGTTTTATTAATTATAACAGTCTACCTGAACTTGTAAACTTCTCTACAAGTCTGTTTAATGGAAAGTTGAGATATACCAAATTGTTGTGTAGACTATTGTTTGTACGGATGGGTAATTTCAATGATGTGTTATTTTTACTTAAAAACAAATACTCTAATTAATAATTATTTCATATTTGTTTATAAGTACCTTATGTTTATAAAATTATTCTATATTTTTTTTGTATATTAGGATGTACCTATTTTAATAAAGCTATCTATCTAAAATGTACTGGGTACCTACTGCTTTCAATGATCATTTTTTATAACCATACTTTAGTTTAGTACCCAATCCAAAAAAGGCGTAACTCAATTTTGGGGATTTTTACAGAAGCGTCAGAAAACTAAACATTAGTTTTTTAATATTCTTTGAGAAACTGTAAAGAAAATATAAATAATTTCAATTAAAAACTTACCTAGAAAATGCCAGGCCAAAAACCGCAGTGACACCATCCTGTGATGAGGTAAATGGAATAATTGAACTGTATCTACTACTTGCTCGGGTGAAACAACTAAATTGATAACCCTAGGAACAGCAACGTATAACTATCACATTTTAAATAATACAGTTCGAAATAAACGCGAAGGTAAAACTTTCAATACGCTATATTAGTGATGACGTTATTTGTGTCCACTGCCAGGGACAGTACACTTATCAAAAATAGAGATTTAGAAGAATGTATTCCTTTAAACATTAAAAAATAATTTTGTTACACTTTTAAACAATATTAAAAAAATCCGAAAACGTATATGCCAAATTCAATGACAGAATGGTTTTTGTTAAAAGTTAACTGTCAGAACACAAATTACGTTACACTAATATAACGTATAAGTGGAAAATTGACATGGCAAGTGACTAGAGGCAATATATAAAATTAAAGTGACAACAATAAAGCTTAGCATATAACAAATACAAGGGGAAGGTGAAAGTTCTCGGCTTTATTATCAATAAAAAATGTGATATTGACACATGTCAGTAAGACCAATATCTAGTTTCACATTAATAGTTTTCTTTATAAGGCTGTTTAAAGTAGACATGTATGTGTTTCGTAAAAATGGATAAATTCTTTGTTTTGAACGTTTTATCGACAACAGAAATTCATCAAAAGTTGGTAAAGATTTATAAAGGGTCTTTAACTATTTTTAACTGTTAAGAAAAGGCGGCTGAGTTTAAACATGGTATCTTAATGATGATCCATGCGAAGAACGATCAAAAACAACAAGTAACAAAAAATATCGAGAAGGAACACAGCTAAAGCTGTAGGTATCTCAAGAGAAGGATTCGGTACATTTTTCATGAAGAATTAAGTATTATAAAGCTTTAGGCAACGTTGCGCATTTGTCAAATGCTCATTAAAAACAATACGAATTTTTAAGCAATGTTTGGAACGATTTTATGTACTGATTTGTTAATATCGATAAAACGTGGGTTCACCGTTTTACCTGAAATAAAACACCAGTCGAAGCGGTGGGTGGAAGCCGGTGGCTCTACGCCATACAATTATTGCATGTGCCAGAAAAGTCATTGCTAGTATTTTTCAGGATGCTAAAGGGAATATTTTAATTAATTGCCTCAAGAAGAGTATATGATTGGATAGAACGAAAACATTTATGAGAAGAGACCTGCATTGCCAGATTTGGCTCTTTCGACTTTCATTTATAAGAAAGTGTAAAGCAATTTGTGGCTGAAATTTTTTTTTTGGATCAAATGAAGACCATGGCAACGGTAGATGGATATTTTATAGAAACGTAGGACAAAGTGCATTGAACTAAAGGAAGACTACATATAAAAATAAATGCATTTTTAAACCCGAAATAACACCACATCGAGAACTGTTTACATTGCATACATAGTTTTATCAACATAAACAAAAATAAAAAAAAAGAACTTTAATAATTGATGAGATTTAAATATTTACCTAAAATCGTTCTTGAGACCATGGCCAACAAAAATCACACCACTATCTATTAAGTATCTTAATTTTTTATAAGTAGACTTTAAAGTAGTTAAATGCTTTGAACTAAAGTTAGCATCCAAATCTCCGGGTTTGATACCAGAAAATTTGGTTAAATAATCCACAACCTGTTCTTGAGTAGAAATATAGTCATCTATGAACGGTGTTCCTTCCAAATTGCCGGATCTACAATATATTAAAATAATTTTAAGATTGAGAAAAACATGATGTTGTCGCATTGATAAAATTTAAATTAACAGCTCACCCTCTAATGCAGGTTATTCTAGCCACAGACATCTGGGAGGGTTTTATAGTAGACATTTTTCCATCGCTTCTTAACTCCGCTTCTTCTTGGTTTAATGTAACGAATTCCGCATCCATGGCAACTAAATCACCTGGTTTCAAAATTTCGTTATCTTGCAAAGGGGTAAACGATGTTCCTCGGGCGTTTGCACCACTAGTAATGGAAGTATCTTCTGAAAGAACTTCCTAAAAGTGGCGAAGTTGTGTAATGAGTGGTAAAATATGCATTTTCATTGTTATTAAAAGTAAATAAAAAATAAGTAAACCAGAGCTGTGAATGAAGCAATTGCATTAAATATCGTTGCTACACAAGCATAGTGACACAATTCAAAATCAAATTTTCTTGTTTCCTGTAAGGCATTATCTTGCATTATAAAAATGTTAATCTTTTTGGGAATAAATATTAGTGATCACCTTTTATTCAAATAACAAGTTTGCTTTGATAACATTAGGAAAAACACAAAAATATTATATTTTGAGTTATGACGATCGTCCAGAAAAATATATTTTACACCATATTGATGGCAATGACCTTTTCAACAATGATGTCCTAATTTGACTTGTGCCACTTTTGAAAATAATGGTCTTAAATTAAATTCTGATATATGTCATTCTAGCCGAAAATTAATTGATTTGTGTCACCCTTCATTGTCATAGACTCACGACTTTGTAGTACGGGAAAAGCACCTCGAATGGGATGCAAATTGCACACACCCGAATAGAAATGGCAGAACTTCGAGATTTCGTCGAATTAAATGACCTTAACATACATTAGACACCCCCCACCTTCTTCCCTTTGCTGAACGCTACAACCCAACACCCTCGACATTGGTGATACAAAAAACATTGCAGACATCAGAAACATAAGGACCATATCGACCTTAAACTCTGACCACGATCCAGTCTACTTGGAGATTAGAACTAACAACAAAGCCAAAAACAGAGATGCAAATACTTTGACTACTCGAAGACAGACTGGAACGCATTCAGGTGAACACTTGACAAAAACATACTGCTCAAAGCCATAAGCCCTGAGCTGAGCAAGAAGTAGAGACAGAAGTTAGGAAACCAACAGACGCCATAAAAACGGCAAGAAATAGAAACACAGTGCTTGTGAATACACGACCAAATACGAACAAAAAACACCCTAAGGAAGATATGGCAGATACACACAAAAGCCGCAGACAGTGTTAAACTGCATGATATTGCACATTATATTAATTACTTAATACAACAAGAACGAAACAAAAAATGACAGGAAATCCTAGACACTGTGAACCCAAACATCAATTCAGTGTGATGAATTGCGAAACAATATTGCAAACCCTATTCGCAACTCCCCACACTGGATGAAAGGACTAAAACCTTAAGTGACAAACAAAGAAAAAGGTCAATTATTAGACGAACACTTTCAGAGTATGTTTACAAACAAGATAGTAAACAATACCGAACAAGAAAGAATCGAAGACATTGTTAATGATTGAATAATATCCCCAACTTTCCAGTAAATCAGGGAGACCTAACCACCCCAAAATAAATTAATAATATACTGTGTGGGTTGCGCAGAAAGAACGCCCCCGGTCCGGACGAGATCAGTAATATTCTACTCAAAAATCTAGCGAAAAAAGCAATAGTAAAAAGTCCATCATATATTTAAATCACAACACTATTCGGAAAGATTAAAAATAGTAAATATCATTCCAATTAAAAAGCCAAATAAAATCTCGAAATTTGCAGAAAGGTTTCTTAGTGCACAAATCATAAACATTGCGCACCAGACCAAAAAGGCTTTCAAACAGTACTGGTGGTCCTAGACATGGAAAAGCGTTTGACACCGTCTGGACCTGCGGGTTGATATACAAAATGATTGTGGATGACTATCCCGGTCACATTATAAAAATAATTCATTCTTACCTCCAAGACAGAAAATTCTATACAAAAATACAAAACACTCCGACAAGAGCTTGCAGACCTGATGCTGGAGTACCCCATCTATACACCATTATGACACATGACATGCCATTGGGTCAGAATGGGGCACAGACGGCGCTGTACGCCAACGATACCGCAGAAATCGCTACCAGGAGGCTGGACATTCATGTCAATAGAACGTTGATCCCCTATCTAGAGAAAAACAAGATGAAAATAAATCCAACAAAAACAGAAAATACGCTGCTCACCCAAAGAAAGACTGAATGTATAATAGGCTAAAAATCCAAAATCAAGCAATTAAGCCCAAAAAATCCATAAAATATATTGGTGTTTACCTGGATAGGAGATTGATGTTCAAACGGCATATCAGCGATTGTGTGGACAAAACGACTGTAATAATTCGCACACTCTACCCGATGCTTAGTCATAACAGCAAGGTCACACGTAGCAATAATCAGCTGCTTTATAAACAAATACCGCGGCCGATATTGACAAATGGATGTGCAGTCAAAAAATTGCAAATTAAGCAAAACAGCTGTCCGAGGCTAATCCTTTGATGTACAAGGTACACCAGAATCACAGAACTGCATGAGAGAACAAACACTCTTTCAATTAAGCAATACATCCTAAAATTATCAGAAAAATTATATCGAAACAGTCTCCCCTCCTCGGTTTAAAGGAAGACATCAATGAAATCTTGGCCGAAAACGGCCGAAAACGTCCGAAAACGTCCGAAAACGGCCGAAAACGTCCGAAAACAGCCGAAAATAGCCAAACACAGCCATATGAAGCATGTATGGCTCCTGACAATTTACAGACACTGAAATGAGACGAAAATTAAGCAACATAACATGGACAATCATAGCATGAATGATTACTAAGTACACTATGCAATGCCGGTCTAGGTTTGAAACCCTAGTCGCTGGTGACTCAGCGGTCGGCGGGGCATCGGATCGAGGGCCTACCATAAGTGGGTCCTCAATCTGATGGTCAGCAGCCAATCAGCTTAAAGCACGAGTAGTGTACACAAACCATGAGACATCTAACGAACAAACAACCCACGCTTAAAAACCCTGTTTTTTCAACAGATTTTTCAGGGAAAACAGACATAATTAAAATCAAATATACTACTAAATTGTTCATTCATTGCATAAGGGTCTATTTATACTCCCTTATTATTAGTATCATGATTAAACATTAAACTGGACTAAATATTCAAAAGGGTATTTATACTCGTTTTATAATTATTAACATGTGCCTCTTTTTTAAAAATCGTTTTCCTAATAAGGTATAATTCTGCAGTCAACAAAATGTTGGTTACTGAAGAAATATGTAAGAGGCCAGTTGTGTTCTTAGAATATTTTTTAAGATATTTGAGTTTTAAACATGTTTTTATTAATATTTTTACTAGTTAATATTATTTAAATATATTATTATTCAAAAATAGGATTAATTAAGAACATTTTTAAGGGATTTACGTCTCAAATTTATAACAGATAAAAAGAAGCAGAAATTTGAGACTAATCAAACAGAAAAGAGGCATTTGCTTCCTCGTGGTGACATGTCATTTGTCAACATTATACTCGGTAAACATTGCTGATACACAAAAATTGTATACAGCGAATGATTTGTACCGAAATATTATCGTTTTCGAGCTTGTTGGAACAAAACTATAAACAACATCTGACAACATAATCAATTGTCGTTATAACGGATAACGGGTCTATTAAAAACAAAGGCCAAATACGTCACCGATTCTTTTGATAGAAAAGAAGATATTTATAATTTAACAGAAAAAGTTGAACCTGTCAATTAAGCATAAATATTAATGCTAATACTAATCATAAATCGAGTATAAATGTCCCCATTACATTGTGAAGGTTCAATTTAATCCTTAATCATAATACTAATGCAAATACCAATAATAAGGGAGTATAAATAGACCCTAAGATGACGAACATCTACAGGCTGCAGACTGGCCGAACGCCTGCCTGGATCTAACGATTGTACGTAATTCCGACGAAGAAATTACTTTTTTTGTCTAATGGGCCCGTTCACTTTCATTTTGGAATGTGAATTAATTATATATTTATAAAGATATTAAACTCTTTTGTCTGGTGGTACTTTTCCCGTTAAGATATGTTTGCTAGAAGTAAGGGAATTCCCATAAAATTCTGTCAGTGACTCATTGCGTCAGAAAACCCCTAATTCCCTTCAGGTCTCGTATCGGTTAATAGTTAAAAGGGAGCGGTTGTCGGATGTATCATTGCACCACCATTCCTCTTCTGCATTTATTAAAGAAATTTACATGATAAAAATATATTATTTTTTAAAAATAATGTGTATATTTTCAGATAAATCTGGAAGCCTTACCTTTTTTAAATTTTAATAAAAACAATTAGTATTCCTCAAGCTGAATATTACCAGATCGAAATTTTATTTGAGAAAATGTATCTGGTAAACGTAACAACGTTGTAAGTACTTCTAAATAGTGTTGTCTACACACACTTCTAGAAATAAATGCAACGTTGCCACATTTACCAGATTAATATTGCAAATCAAATTTCTACTTTTTGATTATGGTCTGGTTAATTTTCAGCCTGAGTAATAATAATTGTTTTAATTAAAAAGTAAAAAATAAGCTCCCAGCTTTAAATCTGAAAATATAGGTTCATGATTTTTAGAAAAATAATGGAATTTTACTATTTAAATTACATATATAAATGCAGAAATGGTATATTAGGGATACTTCCGACAACCCCGCCGTCTTTAAGCATAACCGATACGAGACGTGAACGGAATTAGGGATTGTCTTACGCAATGAGTCACTGAAAGAATTTTATGGGAATTCCCTTACTTCTAGCAAAAATATCTTAACGGGAAAAGTACCACCAGACAAAAGAGTTTAATATCTTTATAAATATATACTTAATTCACATTCAAAAATGAAAGTGAACGAGCCCATTGAGAATGTGGATCTAAATTGTATAGTGCAAATAGTTAATATTTTATGAATAAAAAAAAGTACGGGAAAAACAACACAACCGCTTTCCAGTGGATATTTTTGGAAGTAGCAATATGTCGTTCTTCTACATAAAAATGTTCAATCTCTCCTGAAACTGTTACAAGACTATTTAAAATCAAAAATGGAGGAACATAAATCTCATAATAATACAATAAGTTAATGTTTGTATCGAGACTGGAAGCCCTAATAGAGCTGAAGGGCTGAAAAGATGAAGAGGTTGATTTACTATCCCGAGAAAACGCTCCAATGGCGCTTTTTGTCCCAGAACCATTCTGTAGTATCACAAAAACAGCCATCAGAACATGCACAAAGCAATGGATGTTAAACAACTCTCAGGATTGGTGAAACAATTTAGCAGGGCAGGGACAGCCAGACAGTTCTTAAAAGAACCATTCCAAAAACTCACCGAGCACCTACTAAACCAAAATAAGAATAAAACCAGAAGTAGGCATATTAACAGGGTATTGTAGGCTTAACAAACATGCATAACATCGACCTGGCAGAAGAGACCTTGTGCTGTTTCCGTCAGAAAGAGATGGAAAATGTTCCACTATGAAGATCAATCCAGACTGAGATTCCTTACATTTGGAGAAGAAAAACTTTTAGCTACATCGAAGAGCTACTTCATAATCTATGGAGTCTATTAGAAAATATCAAACTAGACAAATTTTAACTAATGATCAAAAGATATCCACAGTAGATTTGAAAATGTCAAGGTGGCCCATAGTCCTAAACAAATTTAATCCAAGGCTAAAGTTATTCTATACAGCTATTAAAATGTTTATAAATAAATATTTTGTAGTAACTTACCCTTGACAAATGTTGTTTAACTTCTGCAATATTTCTAAGCACCTCGTGTGACGAATAATACAACACACATGGTACTTTCCAATCCAAGCTGAACCACGTTGCTTCGTGAGAGGAAACCGGACTGATACTGAAATCGTTGAACAGGTACCACCTTTGATCCGGAGTTTCTTTGTCTTTTTCTTTTAAATATGAATCAGGTACACGTATTAAAGCCACTAAGTTGCGTTTTTCGGGAAATGACTGGTCATTTATGTAGCAAACAACGGCTGTAAGATCGTATTTTTTTGTTTGGGTATCAGGTTTTGGTGAAGAAAGAGTATCCTTAAAAATGGAAAAACAACTAAAGATGGTAAGTAGCCAACAACAACGTTGTTATATGATTTAACGTTAATCATTAAAAAATTCGACAATTTTGAATATTCAGAAGTATTACAATAATATACAGAGTGTATTTGAAATAGGTGCAAGATTGTACAATATAAAAAAACGTTCAATAAGACGAAAAGTATATTAACCTACTGTATTACTTCAAATATCCATATAAAAGAAATATAAATGCCATGGTAATGGCTTTATTGCCATTAGTGTTTAAATATAATTTTTAGCATATGGGCGTCACGACTGGCTCAAATAAAGCGCAATCTGGAAGTCAGATTTTCGAGCAGATGGGGCTGTATATCGTATAGGCAATAAAGCAGCTAATATCGGTTTCCAAGTCGTCCATCGTCTCTGGTTTGTCGGTGTAGACTAGCTACTTCACATATCCTTACAGAAAATAATCCAAAGATGTTAAATCAAACGATCTTGGAGGCCAATTCACAGGTTCATTAGAGGAAATTATGCACTCATCAAATGTTTTTTTAAAATAATGTTTTGCATGTCTCTCGGTGTCAAAACCAAGTGATCTGACAAGATCTTAAGTGGAAGAATAACTTGTATGTGCGACTTTTTGTAGAATTAATATATTTTCTGTCAATATTAAAAAAAAATAGTCACTTACCATTTTTTCCTCATCATCAATCTTCCGTATTTCTAATTCGTCTTTTTTAAGCGTCAACTGAACTTTGTGAGGTAGCCAATTATTACTGCAATAGGGGTTTTTAGACGGGGGGGTGGGAACAGCGTTATCGAAACTATGCCTAAACCTGCATCCTGGTCTCGAACAGTGATCTCCGTATCTGCAAGGTTTCGATGAGCCCAATGCAGAGGTAGGGGTCGAAGCTCTGTTGTTTACCTCCATATTTGAAACTTTAGCGACGACTTTGTCCATCTGGGTTTGCCAGAATTGCTTGTGTTGCGCGTGGTGAAGACCGGTGTTGATTGAAAGGACATTGGATAAAGACTGAAAATAATAATGTGTAGAAGATAGCCTAGGAGGAATCGGCGCGTGAGGGTGGATAACTATTCGGACGCAATTTTTTTTTGTCTAAACCTTTTATAAATATGCCAAATATTATAGACCGTCAGATAGTGACAGGTTTAGGCGTCCCATTTTCCCATACAAGCCTCGAAGAGGGTTGAAAAGTACATAGATTTTAAGTAAAATGAGAGTAAATTTACGAGTGGCTCCTGAGGATAACACATGGAAAATTCGATTTTCCCCAACAAAAATGAAAGGTTATTTGTTGCCCATATTTCCACGTAAGCCGATTTCACTATATGATTAATTAATAGAACTTGCTTCGGAAAACCAAAGGCTTTAATGTTGCAAGTGGCTAAAGGGTTAAAATAAGGGCGTAATCTTCTAAGGAAAAATCGAGATTTTATCAGATTTTTCTACACAAGCCCATCGAAAACGTACATCGTCGCTAGTCCGAAAAATATATTTTCTTGAATGACCTGAATGTATAAGTGCATTTTGGTGTCGGAAAATTTTTCTGATAAGGAAAATCGAATTTTCCAAGAGCCATTCGTAAATTTTTTTATTCTATTCAACATCGATGTACTTTTCAACCCTCTTTGAGGCTTGTATGCGAAAATGGGGCACCTAAATCGGTCACTATCTGACGGTCTATTATAAAAACGCAGTTTACCATGGAGCTACATGGTCCCATTTCGTTTAAAACGAAATTCTTTAAATTCCTAAATATTTTAGTTTCAAACGTGACCATTTTTTTTTTCATATTCTATATTTTAATACAAATAAAAAAGTTCTATAAATGTTTTGGATAAAGTTAATATTTTAAATGATATGAATTTTTAAAGTTTAAAATATCACGATCTATAAGAATAAACGATAAATTAAACTTTTTTTTACATTCTCTATAATGTAGTAAACAAACTGCGTAGTAGCAAATATGAAAATTTTCATCATTAATTAATAATATTAACTAAATCAAAAACATTCATAGGACCTTTTTTATTTGTATTAAAGTAAAGAATATGAAAAAAAAAAAATTGTACCGTTTTAAAATAACATGTTTCAGGAATTGTGTAAACAATTTCGTTTTAAACAAAATGGGACTACATTGCCCCATGGTTTTAAAGGATTCTGACAAAAAAATTGCGTCCGAATAATTTTCGACACTCCTTGACTAGGAATAGATTAATTTTGAAAATATCTTAAATTTTACATATTGTTGTTATACAGTGTGGTTTATAAAGTGTGGAAACGCTCCATTATCTTATGAGTTAATTATTTTCTTAAGCAAAGCTCAGACAGGTTGATTTTATGTTTATTTTCTACTTTTTTTTTATAAATTAATTTTTACCCTCACTACCTTACAAGATTTTTTTTTAATTGAAAGGGTATAATATTATATCAAAAATTAAAATTCATACCATGTCAACTTATAGATTAATGAAGTACACCAAGAATGATAAGTTTAATGAATGTTCTATAAGTTCGGGTTTACTAAATTTTACAAAATTTTCTAATAATGAAAAAGAAGATAGTCCACTCTCAATGCTGAATAATACAGCACACTTCAAACCTTTAGATATACCCCATAAAAGGTAAGGATCTAAAAGACTTGGTAAAAAGTATGTTACTTTAAATAATGATCAAGATTACTATAATAGCATGTTTCACAAAATCACTGTTGATTATTAATGACAAAATTATGTCGAGAGAAATTGCAAAATACACGAAAAATTTAGTAGTAATAGCCGCTAATTTATTAAGGTCGAGTTATATTTTATGAGATTATTTCTAGAGCCCTAAATGGAACTTAAATTAATAAATACACAATAAAATAACTTTTATTTTCGGTTCATTTTGAAACGTTCCAAGAGATATTAGCTTGTACTCTGACAATAAATATATCTGACAGTAGCCGATATTAAATATTATTACCCAAGTATGCGAGTTGCTGTCAACATAGGTGAATTTCAAGCACCAAACATGGATAGTCGATTTGAAATATATATAGATTCTAACGAGAACGTAAATTGCGATGTGATCGGTTAAAATATCAAAGTTGACAGGCGGCGGAACTAATCATAGAAAATACTAGATACCCTGCGTACAAAGCAGGCATGGATACTTCAGGCACCCTAGCATTATTTTTGAAGATGAAAGAGGAGAAGGCGCAGGAAGGAGGAAGAAGAGAAAAAGGAAAAGCGAGAAGAGCGGGTTGAATAAGTTAGTTTTCAGGCAACCACTAACAAGCCAGAGGATGACGAAGACGGAATCACCCTTGAAAGCTTGAGAAAGACAATGACGAAGGTTGTCCAAGAATGGCTCGAAAATGGAGTTAGCAAGAGTTTTCCAAATATAGTGGAACTATTAAAGGGTACTGCACTCAGTGGGATTCCCTGTATCTTTACGATGGCCTATTGTACCGGAAGTGCCAAAATCACATGTCAGAAATTTGTTGAGGAGCTTCCCACCAGCCATTCAAAAGCGCATTTTAGTACTAAAAGGACACTGGAACGAGCTCGGGAAAGATTTTATTGTGTCAATTGCTGACGAGATGTAGAAGCTTGATGTAAGAACTAAGAAATGTGATCTATGCAATGGCAGAAAAGGAACCAAAACAAGAAGCCGAGGAAAAATGGCACAGTACCTTTCCAGAGAGCCTTTCAACCTAATGGCAGGACCACTTCCCTTAATAGAAAGGGGAAACAAATGATGAAGAAGAGGGCCGTACACCTCCCACGTCTACGGATTGGCTCAAGAACATTTGAAAGTCAGCAAACGATAAAGCAAACGCTAGAATCGACATCATGCCACAGGGACCCATTTTGAGAGAAGCGAGTATGGCTGTATAATCCCAAGCGCTGAAAAGGACTTTGTCAGAAACTGCAACGGAACTGGGAAGGCCCCTACACCGGTCCTCAAGAAAATCAACGACCCGATCTACCGCATTCAGTTGTCAGCGGAAAGTAAACCCAAGGTAGTTCACATTGAAAATTTACCGCCATACCATGGTCCACATCCTCCCCGTTGGCTTCAACCAGGTCCAAATATGTTATTTGGGACGAATAATTGGAGAAGAGGGAGCAATGTTACCCTGAACCCTGTAGCACAGAAGAAAGGAACAATACAGAAAAGAAACATATGACTACTTCCACCACAGAGACACACAGAAAACGTAACTATTCACAGTACACCACAGAGCTAGGTGTACTGTGAATAGTTATCTTTTCTCAGAGTATCTCTGTGGTGGAACTCACCCTATGTTTATTTTCTGTGCCTACAGTGCGAAAATAATATCGTATGAGCTGCAAAACTTATAACATCACAGTTCATGTCGAAAATAAAAAGGTTATTTAGATAAAAATTAAAAAGTATGGGTCCCAATCCCGTTTCTTGGGGCACCCCACAAGTAAAAATTTAGGTGTTTTTCACTTTTTTAATTCGATCAGTTAAATAACTTTTAAAAAGTTCATGTGCTATACCTTTTATACTCATGTCTTCTAATATTTTTTGTAAAATTGAAAGGTCTATAGTATTGAATGCCTTTGCTAAATCTATAAGACACCAATTGATAAGGCATGGACTTATTAAGACTGTTATACATTTTTTTAAATAGAACTTTTAATATATCTTCGGTAGTCATAGTTTGCATAAAAACTGAGAAGAATTTGTCTAATATCATCTGTATGATTTTTTCGAATACTTTGACCAGGCAGGAAATTAATGAAATCTGTCTGTAATTAGCAGTACATATTCTTTCTCCTTGTTTGAAAATTGGAGTTACTGTGGCAAGTTTAAGCTAGTGATAAATTTATTAAATATGTGAATAGTTTTATATTTATACCATTCCAAACCGGAGATTTATTATTTTTTAATTGTATTATAATTTGTTCAATTTCATTTTTATCGGAAGGATATAGAAATAATAAATGAGTGTATGTTCTTTTCATCTCAATCAAATTTCGGATTCCTATTTATTTTGTTAGCCAACTTCTTACCTGATATAAAATGTTCATTAAACAATTCGGCTATTTCAGAAGGATTAGCAATTAATTCATATTTATAATTTTTTATTAAATTTAATGGTGTACTTTCAGGTTCCCTTAAGAATTAATTTATAGTGTTCCACAATGTTTTTGAATTTCTGTCGTTTTCAATTTGATCACGGTAATACTCAATTTTTGACTTTTTAATTGCTGTTTTAGTGTTTTTTTTATTATGTGAAAAGTGCACGACACAAAACTAACAAACAAAAAAATCGTCATTATTTCTTTTTTGTTGTTAAACCTTAGATTCATGATAAATTACCCAAAAAAACATAAAAGTACCAAATATCAAAACTCCACCAACATTTTCGTCTGGTGGCCTTTTTTGGGTCCTACAAGCGTTGAGTATATGTTGAACCGATTTATTATTTGAATATATTGATGACATTTGATATTCTACAAAATTACTATTCAGTTTGAAGCCTTATCCTTATCTCAAAGGTTTTTACTCTACAGAATAATAAAATGAATTTTCACTATTTAAAAATAGAATATGAATAAATTTTAAAATTATTTTAGATAATTCTTTATAGTTACTTAAATTATACTTAAAAAGTTGGGAGACTTTTGATTCCGACACCGTCATATCAACATCGAAATGGCGGTCTCACAATCGGAAGTCCAGTTTTCATAAAATATCTATTATTACATAATTAAAGTGTTCATCCAACTTTTAAAATTCTACTACATGAATCAGTACGTGCAGTACCAAAATTTTGGAATAATAAATAACAAGTGAAGAGGAAAAAAACAGTCCGCATAAAATGAATAAGAAAAACACGAAACATTTTATAGACAGCGAAAGATAAAAAAAGAAAAAAGGAAAAAAGTTAGCGAGTAATTTAGGAAAATTACCATCACCAATTTTAGCAAAATCCCTATTTATTATTACCTGTAACACCCTATGTTGAGATGTAGGTGAAAATTTTTGGCATTTTTCACACCAAGCAGGTGTAGTTTGTTGCGGGCAAAGAGATCTCTTTAAAATTTCACAAAAACTCCATTCATCTTTGTCAGAATCAATAGAAGGATAGATCAGGTTGCATGCCAGGAGAATAGACTCTTTTCTAACCTAAAAAATTATTTTAAATACAACAAAATGGGCTTTTAATGTTTTGAAAACATACTTCATTACCACATTTAAGGCAAGTGTTTAATTGCAGTTGTGTAGTACCAAATAGTTGGCTAACTTCGGACACTTCTTCCCTTTTTTCGTCTTCCATTTTTATTTCTAAATCTCCTGTAAAATAAGTATAATTGTAACGATTGTAATGCCACAAAATATTTACATAAAAAAAATTAATACAAATTTTGAATAAATATTTCTTGATATACTGTAGTGTTTTTTAAAAAATTACATTTAAAAGTAAAAATAATTTTAATATTTGAAGAGCACGAACTAAGTCTAAAAGTACTAAAAATTAGATAAATACATAATATAAAAGTTTAATGTACGTATTTTTAACGTACCAAAATAAATAATTCTAAAACCAACCTAATTTTTTCAATTTCAAGTTTAAAAATAAGAAGTTTACAGAAAAACGATCAAAGTCCGTCAAATGAATGGTAAGAACTAATTTGTACCATATTTTTAAACCAATTCAATTTATTTAATTCCTCGATAATTAATTTTACTCATTTATGATATACCTAAAAATAAAAGACTCACTGATGATAGATTTGTTACAGATCTGACACCCTAGTCACTATAAATAATCGCAGTTTTGACTTATTAGATCGGTTTTTCCTTTTATTTAATTTATTATTTGATTAAAAATCTGTAATTTAGAAAAGATGTCGAAAGACTTTATTTTAAAAATTGTGAATTTAATATAACGTAGATCGCAAATCGAAATCCGAAAGGTCAGAATTATCTGAAATAAGTTGTAGAATAATTTGAAAATTCGGAAACAAATCTCAAAAATCCCCCTACGAATTATCAAGACCATCCACGAACCCCAAAGGTGAAAACAAATACTTGGAGATCCGAAGCCAGACATCTTTGTTCTGTACACAAATGCCCGTTCATTGGCTGTCGAGATTCCTAGACGGCAATTTGATGTGTTAATTCGGGCCAAGCCAAACTTAACCCACACAGACGAAGATATGGGCTCAGTGTGCATCAATGCATTTATCATATATACCGATGTTATGTATTTTAAGATTTGAGAACGAGCCTGACACGGCCCTGATAAACTTTAAATGACTTGTTCCTGAACAGTTTCTTTTTTTAACTAAATAAACTAATTCATTTTTATAAATATATATGTTGAATCTTATTTTTTAAAGGTTACAACAATTCTCTTTTACTCAAATTAAATTTTGTATAAGTTTTTATTAACTTCCTTTTTGAAAAAGCTAGAGTTTATAATTCTTAAAAATAAAAAAAGAGAATTATTGGTGCCCAACTTTCCTAGAAAATTATTACCCCAAAGGTGTCTATTAGAAAAGCCGAATTCACGACTGAGAAAAATATGGGCAATGTGCTCATTTATTTCTTTTAATTTTTAAAGGTAAGTAATGTTTGATATTAAATTTCACTGAGCTAGTTAAAAATCTCTTATAAGTGTTTTGAAATTAACATTTTGTCACAAGGCAACGTAATATATTACAACTTTTGAATATTAAAATAAATTATGGTCAAAATTCAAATAATTCTAAAATCTTTCGATTTTAGTAATGACATAATTTGTATACCAAAGACACTGATAGTATGTCAATGACAGTAGATTTATTATTTATTATTGCGTTTAACCACATAATGTCAAATTTGTCAAATATCTACAGCTAATACCTTTAAGGGAATCTAAATGCAATTTATAGTGGAACATGCTATATTAAAATGTTGCCTCGCCTAATGTAATTATGAAACACAAAGTTTGTTTCTGGTAGTATGCACAATTGAAAATAATTTTCTGACGATGACAAGTATACCTGCAAAGACAAAACTACAATAGGAATTATATTGGCGGTTAAATAGTCACTTCCATGAAATAATTTGAAAAATACAAAATGTGATATTTTATATCAAAAACATATTGAAGACAAATGTAATCATTTTATAGTTTTATATATACGATATTTACAATGTTATTAAATAACTTTCGGTAAATAGATTAGAATCCGTATATTAATCCTTTTTTTACATATATTTCATGTATTGTAAGGCCCGTCATTTAATACGACCCACCCAACCTACTTTTAACAGTACTTTGGAGTTTGTTTGAAAATGGAGGAAATAACAAGTGTAATCAAAAAAATTAAACATACACTATATAATAATTAATTTCTAATATGGCAGTCTTCCCAACATGTTTGTAAAATCATTTTCTGACAGAGAGTATGATAAAACAGAATAAAGGTAAAACAGTTTAAAATTTAATTCTCTTAAAACTGATTAGTTTTGTAAAGTTTTTATGCCTATCTCACTTATTATTAGATTCTCAAAAAATATTTAAAAATGGTTTAACAAAATTCTTAATGTACTCTTACGGACTTTGACTTAGGTCTAATTAGTTTTAAGATATTGTTTTAAAAATTCTCTTAAGAACCGTTATAGGATTCTTCCTTTTACTCTTAAAGCAGATTTATAGCAGCCCTAAGGCTATCTCGCGGATTGAAAAGTTTTATCAGTGTTTTAAAAAAGAGTTTTATGGTTATCTTTTATACTTTGATAAATCTAAAAATGTTACTTGGGCGGCAACAGGCCAAGTATGTTTTTAAAATTTAGGGTTCGGGGCTGGTCTTAATAATTCGTAGGAGGATTTTTGAGATTTGTTTCAGAATTTTCAAATTATTCTACGACTTTATTTTATGTTATTAATATAAGCAAGCAATAAAATACTCTCTAGTGCAGGCTTGCACAGCATACGATCCGCCATTGTCGCTTTCTTGGCCCTTTGTCCCTTTACAAATTTGGCCCGCCTCCGTCAAACTATACATTTTTCAGTAACAAAATTGCATTTAGGTATTAATTGCCTTTTTTTAGGAGTACGATAGAAGGACTTGGTTCATTATAAGCTGATGACCTTGTTTTTTTTAGAAGCTCGATAGAAGGAGTGGGTTTATAAAATTATAAGGTGAGGACCTTTTTTTGTTTTAGAAGCTCAATAGAAGACCTCAACCTACTTTATGAATTGATTACCCGCCAAAAAAAATTTACATCCGTTCTTGGCCCTCGTACACCTACGGTTTTTTTGAACTGCCCCTTTGAAAATCACAGTTGTGCAGGCCTGCTCTAGTGTATCAAAAATATTTGTATTTTTTCCATGATCTAATAAAAAATTACAATTTTAAAATTGATTTTTCACCATAATTCAAAAATGTGACTTTCCTCTGTGCTCTTCATTTGTCAATTTTTCATAAATTTATTGTTTAATATTTACCTGCCGCTCTTTTTTCTTTAAATTTCTCACCAGAAATGCTTGGAAAATCGGTTTCTTTGTAAATAAATAACTTTCTATTAGCTTTTCTGTCTTCCTTATTTTTGGTTTCTGATAATTCAACATGCATTTGATGTAAAATAAACCTGTTCCAGCTCTAAAAAATATCTATAAAAATCATTTGTAACAAATGATTTATTCTTAAAACAATCACTTCCAAATTAGAGATAACATTAAATACCGGATATAGTGCAAGTGCGTAGAAAAAAGTCTGCACCAAGAAAACACGAAATGGTTAAACTTTTTTTAATCGAAACATGGCATAAAAATTAAACTAGATTAATAGAATATTCTCAAATTTTATCTGAAATACATGCTATAATTTATCATTGCAAAGATCTTATAGCAGTCGCGCATCTTTTAAATATCTTTGGTAAAAATAAAAATATTATTAAAATTTAAAATATGTAGTAGATGACGTCAAACTACAAAAAAACAGTTGTCAAATAAATTTCCAGATCATCAACGTAGTGAAACAACTTCATCTTTCAAAGTATAATAAAAAAATAAAAAAGTACCCAGTAAGTTCTGATCATTCAATTGAAATGAATGAGTTTAAGTTTCCTTAAATCATTAACAAATTCAATATTAAATAAATGGAAGAGCATGTAAACGATCTACACGATTTTGTAAATATCAGTAATTAAATAACAGTCTGTAAACAAGAGAATCGTTAAGTTTATCCATGTGTAACTTACAGGTACATTATTTAGAGATCGTTTCTGAATTAGGTCAATTTAGACAAGTTTGTGGCCTTAATTTTAGAGTTTACCCAACATTAATCACCTGTCAGAATTATGCAGATGATGGTGATGTGACACCTTGCATATATAATTATTGGGATATAGAGTAACCAAAGGATATTTGGACCGAAATATGAAGCAAATACGCCTTAGTAAAGTGTTGCTGTGGAAGAACAAGCAGGTTGTCAAAGATGAAATCATTGTTACTACATTTAGCAAGGAATATTTTACTACAATTTTGGAAATATGAAAATGAATAATTTCTAATTTATTCTACGAAATTATAAGAAATACACCACCATATCCCCAAATTGAAAAGAAACCAAAGAAAAATTAGCTTCGTTCGCGGTAACAATCCTGAACTGATTCAGAATTAGTAATTCATACTTTGAGCGCATGCCCGAATCATTATCAATTCTGAATTTTTACAGCGCGCGCAATCCCTATTATATCTTGGTGCTTCAGATATAGACATGCGGTTCAAAATCAATAATAATTTTACCGTGAACACAGAATAGAACCAATAGTTCAGTTATTTTTGTTCCGCGAACGCTTTTTAACTACTGCGCCTGCGAAATCGTTACTATTAGTAATAATTCGGTTCAGGATTCTTACCGCGAACAAAGCTATTGAAAAAGCTGAAAAATAAAGAAAAATCAGTGTATCAACCAGGGATCTAACCTGGAACCTTCGGACTGGGCCGTCCATGCTCTTATCACTTAAGTTATCGAGGCACATAGCACATTCGAACTGGTAGATTTAAAGTCAATCAGATTCCGACTCTCGTCGGCGCAAACACACAAATTCTAATCTCATCCCAGCTCTTTTAATTCTTCTTAAAGCCCACCCCTGTGACATCGTGTAGAAAGGACGACAATCTAATTGTACCAAAATACATTTCTAAAATCTTAGTTCACCAGTGTTAAGTTTTCGAGTACGGGCCACCGTAAACGTGAAATGAAAGGGCATGGACAGCCACACTCCAAAGGTTCCAGGTTCTATACCTCATTTTCTTCTTTCTTGAATTCTCAGCGCTTTCTGTTTTTCTTTGGTTTGTTTTCACTTTGGGGATGAGGTGTAGTTTTCATTTCACGTTTACCCGTACTCGAAAACTTAACACTTGTGAACGAATAAAAGATCTTAGAAATGTATTCCAGTACAATTAAATTGTTGTGCTTTCTACATGATTATAATTTGTTTTCGTCGAGCAGAGTCGGAATCTGATTGACTTCAAATCTACCAGTTCAGATGTCGAAAACCATATTCCTCGATAGCTTAATTGGTAAGAGCATGGTCGACCACTGTCCGAAGGTTCTAGGTTGGATTCCTGGCCGATTTTTCTTTCTTTAATTCTCAGCTTTTTAAATTTTTTTTTGTTTGTTTTTACTTCGGGGGTATGGGGGTGTATTTTACATAATTTCGTAGGGGGAATTATTCATTTTTATATCTCACTTTGCTTTCTTTCATTTTAATATTTTATTAGAGATGAAATTATTTCATAAGTTTGTTGTTGACTAGATGTAGGTAAACATCATTATTATATAAAATTTGTATTTTTTTTTTAAACTTGACCATTTCAATCGTTTTTAAGAAAAATTACATTAAACAGATCGGAATCTCGAAAAGTGATTTATAAAAAAAAAAGACAACCTGCTAGTGTTTTTATTATACAGAGTGGCCCAATAAAAACTCCCAGTTTAAATTTCTCAGAAAGTGAGATATATGAAGTATGCAAAGACCCGTTACAAAAGGTAATTTTTGAGTAAATTAAAGATGGCTCTGCATTATAAAGAAAATTTTCAATTGCTAAAGTGTCTATTTTATTTTAAAAATATATTTCTAAGAAAGTTCGTAGTATAAAAAAAATCTTTTAGAATAACAAATGACCACAATTAATATTATAGGAGAAATAACATATATTTTCTGTTTATGAAAAAAACATAAGGTACTCCTTTAAAAAATATATTATTTTCAGTTTAACCAGATAGTAAAAATCTAATTATATTTTCATCATACTTACTTGAATTAAAGCAGACAGTTCTATTTTCTGCTTAGCGTCCGGATGCAGATCGCTCAAAATCAAACTAAGAGCTGATGCTTCTGGCACAGTTCGAAATGCTCTAAGAAAGTTGCCGGGTTGGCAAGGTTGATTTTGAGATGACGTATTTAACATGTGGAAGAGAAATCCCAACTCGCAGGAGAGGCAAAACTCTTTTGTACATATATGCGTCAACAGGGCTGCTCTCAGTGATTCGTTGTGATACAAAACCTTAAAAAAATTAAAAAACTATTTGTAATAATTATAAGATAAATACAAATTATTAAAGTAAAATTGTTAAGTAATGATTGATCCACAAATTTTATTTTCTAAAGCATGTCATGAGGCATGACTGATAAAAGACAGATAACTACGAACGCCTCTGGATTAAATCCAAACTGTCATGATTTTTTCCAAGGTCTACTTTAAAAGCAGTTTTTGTTGATCACTCCATAGTATATTACTTTTAAGTCATCACCGATAACAATTCCCCGACAACAATTGCCTGACAACAATTCCCCGACTGGAAAATTCCCAGATTGGAACATTCTCCGACGGGAAATTTCCTTGACAACCAATTCCCCGACTGGAAAATTCCCCGACTGGAAAATTCCCCGACAAATATATTATGTTAAAAAAATATATTCTATCTATCATATCAAATGTATATTGTGGTTCTATAAAGAACCGTTTGTTATACAAAAAAGTCGTTATCCATGAATCCTTTTTCAGTAAGGAAGGTTGTGGGCTATACCACGTAAGTAAGCAGACAGGGTCCCTTCTTCATACTTACAAGAGCTGATTACTCGTTCAGCACAATCACGATACTTTTAACGTTGAGGCGGGCCTTTTAGGCCTCCTGGGTATTGTTCTATCTGAATCTCATGTACGCTTTGCTCCCGCTGGAAAGCTTTTACGAATTTCCATATATTGGGATGGTCTGCAGAAACTTGAGCTTCGAAAGCTCGACGCCATCCCTCAATGGAATTATTTGTTTTTAGCAGTCCTTCTATCACAGTCTGGTAGCAATTTCACATATCAAGGGGAAATTTTGGTGCGCGACAACGTTGGCCTCTTTGCGAGCGTCCAATCCAGGTGTTCTCGAAGTAGTCAACAATTGGTACAGTGAACAAATTTGCTATATTAATATCCTTTTAACAATGACCATTAATGTCCTAGTCGAATAATTTTATTAATTTTAGTTAAGTATTTATAAAAGACCTTAATGTGTAAAGTACATTAATATCCTGCGTCGGATCAGCCCCTCGACTTTATTTAGCTATTTATAAAACACCTTCAATTTGCATTATAAATATAATTAACTGTATTTATAAAAAAAATAGTAGTAGTTTCTAAAAATTTAATTTGTGGTACTATTTCTATATATTCAATTCTTCAATATTTGACATTCTAAAATCTTAAAATTTGATGACATTTGATATGATAGATTTTAGCATTTTCCAAGGGAATATTTTTTTGTGGTGAAATATAATGTATTGTCGGGGAATTTTCCAGTCGAGGAATTGTTTTTCGGGGAATTTTCCCGTCGGGGAATTGTTGAAGGGGAATTTTCTTAATACCATATAATAGATATTTATGAAACCAGTTACGAAATGTCTTATTTTATGTAACGAGTTACATAAAACGTCATTTCGTAACGTGTTACATACAATATTTTTTCTAATTTTGACTAGAATATTTATAAAATTGTATTTTGGTAAAACATTACTGACATCTAGGCAACCAATATTGTATTGATAGTTGCATATGTGTAACTTCATTTATTTATTCATGTGTTAAAGTTTAATTTTCAAGTGAATTATTTTGTCATGTATTGTGTTATTTTGCGCTGATTTAGAATGGAAAATAAGGACCAAAACAACATAATTACTAAATTGTGAGTTTAACCAAATTCTATTTTCATAAGTCAACTTGCCCTTTTTCGTAACCAGTTTCATAATGTTTGACATTATGCAACTGGTTGCGTAAAGTAGATCATTTTGAGACTTGCTGAAATTTCAAAAAAATGTAACTTTATGTGTTAAAATTAGAAAAAAACGTAATTTGTGTGCCAAAGTTGACAATGTCAGTAGATTAAATGCGTTTTGTTTACGACTAAATTACATAGTTCTTGAAATTTTATATTATCTTAAAATATATATTTATATTCCTAAAGTCAGAAGATAAAATCAAGGATATAATAAATTAGTAACCAATTGTTTTTTACATGTTTTTTTTTAATTTTTCGATACATTTCTAATATTCACATAACTCATGGGAAATTGCCTATTTTTTTTTGTGTCATCGGCATCAACTGCTACGGTTATTAGCCTCGTGTTCTGTGTAGGCTTTGTTACTGTTTCCCAGCGCCACTTTAGGAACAGCACTGTTAATTAGTACCCAACAGTGAAGGAAATTGCCTATTATTTACCATTTTAATAAGTATACTTAAAAGTTGAATAAAAATAAAATTAGAGATTGTGTTGAAATAAAAGTATCCCACTGTAATAGTTACATTAAAAATAATTTGATTACATACCTTTGAATTACTTTTTTTACGACCTGCAAACAATATTTAGAAAAAACTAAAAACTCAAAACGTCTTATGTCAAAATCAGTAATAGAATGGTTTAGTTTTGTTTGGCACAAAAATTACATAACACTAATACAATGTATTCTCACATAAAAAAATATTCCTTACTTAGCTTGAAAGTTGTTGGTGCGCCTGCGCAATACCCTTTAAAATCTAAACAGACCTAGCCCTAACTAATTTACCAATAGGCCTTTTCATCATGTGATGAGCGCAAGCGCAGCCGCCATGTTGAAATAGCGCCAATTCAAAAGTTTCGTACTGTTTTGATCAACAATGGCTGGAAAAGCAATATTATCTCTACACACAAATCAATCATTAGAAAAAATCGTTGATGGTGATTTACGTTTTTATAACTCTGTGGAAGCACATAGTTGTTGTGAGCAATTAAAAAGGGTCTTGTAGTGTACGTTTGGAACAAGAAAAAAAAGTGTGGTAATTGAGAGGTTATGTTTCAATACATATTAACTGTGTAAAAAATTAATGAAAACAAATAATAATTATAACTCTATTCTAATTAATTATGCCAACCAACTATTAATAATTGTAAAAACACTTTAACATGAAAGTTAATCACGAGTATAATTAATAAGATAAATTATTTAAAATTTTAAGGATCAACATGACATTTTTAATAATATTACTGTGTATACCAAAGTAGTATTTAATATTAAAAAAATATTTTGTGTAATACCGGACAAGGATTTTCTTCTGTTGAGCCACTTTCTCCATGAAAATGTAGTGAACAAATATAAGTATCTTTAGTAACAACATCCATCAATCGATCGAAAACTTTTGTCACTTCGACTACATTTTTTCACTTATAATGCTCATTTTGAACATGTTTTAATATGTATTTTGCCTCTTGATTTGATAGTATTTTACGATATTGCAGACAAGTCTTTTTAAAAAATAATAATTTATATCGTGTGTCACTTTTACATACTCATAACAATACCGTTTAGTTTTTCGTTTCCGTAAACAACATAATTAATTGATTGCAAAAATTGATTTTTCAATTAAGACACTTATTACTTTACTTTTTTAATCCCATTTTTTAAACGAATACACTTAAAATTAATATTTATCGATTATAATTTTTTCACGTGGACATTTTAACATGCTTGTTTACAGAAAAACAGTACGAAAAAGATGGCTGATACTGACTCATGCGCACAAAAAAATATTGTGATGAAAAGCCCTATTAATGCTCAATAAATCGTTAGCTGATAATACAAAATTTACGTGAAACGTCAAAGTACGCAAGTGACTGTCAAAGGTATCTAGATATCTAGTGAAAAACTACAAAATCAGGCTGTTATGAGTTTAGCAGCCCATGGGACGATGATATACGTTACTTTCGGTCATATTTTTAGGGTTGATATGATTCATTTTCACATATGGTAGGCAAAAAATTTAAATCGTATATTGTATAAGCGAACTAATAAAATAACTCTTGTAACTTTATAGTGTGACTTGTCAAGCAAGAACTTTAAACAAAAAAATAATAGGACAATATTATAATTTTCAATAAAATTTTAAATCGGCTCAGTAGTTTTCCAACCTAACTATGGATCTTTCATAATCTAAGACTCTGAATCATAGCCCTTCTAAAATAAACAAAATTATTTTATTTATTCTTGTTATTTATGCTCCGTAGTGACTCACTAAACTTACTTCTGTTCAAAATCTCATTATGTAAAAGGTTTTCTTATTAATTCGTTGCAACTAAAATTTTTGTTAAATTATTGTAACTATAGTTCATAATTTTTGTATTTTTGTGACAATGTTAGTTATCACTTTAAAATGTTTGTCAATTCTTTTTTTGTGGAGTTAACTATATGACTAAATTAATTACACATTGGTTAATAATTTTAAGATTATAAATTCCATTGCGATTTTTAGGAACGCTTTGATGATTGCTGTTAGCGGAAAGCTCTAAACCGAGTTATATTAAATAATATTTACACTGATTTACTCTTGTAATACCATAGTGTTAAATAAACGAAATTGTATTCCTTAATATAAACCTCAGAAACTTTATTAACAACGAAAATTGAGAGTCAGCAAGAAAGAAAAAAAACCAGTGCGATTTAACCAGATACACATCAACCAATGACAATCATCTTTTATTCCAATTCACGCCAATCAAAACAAATTTTATCTGAAAATATTGCATGCTGCAGTGTTTTCACTCAATCAGGATTGGATTTAAAAAATTCAATTCACTTCCAGAGTAACGTATCAATGATTTATGTAAAATGTCAATGTTAAGTTTGTCAAAAAGGTAAAGAAAAATGGACAAAAATCGTTTTGGTTGATACATAATACAGAATCAACTTTATCTTATGGAAACCAAGCAAATATTGTTTATAAAAGTTATGTTTATATTATTAAACATACTTTCTTAATATCACGTGAGGTGAGATTTTTTTTGAGAACATTTTGTTTTTTTTACAAATTATGCAAATTTGAGTTAACAAATTCTCCCTAAAATACGTCAGTCGAGTGGTATTTAGATGCATAATTTCCAAAGAAACAACAAATTGTTTTCAAAAAATTTTCACCTCTTGTGGTACTATCGCTGAAAATTCGTCAGTCAAGAGTTGACTAAGCAATCGAGTCAAAAAGAGACTCCACTGTGGGCTAGATATGGGGAAATTAGAAATAAGTAGATAATAATTAATAGACCGAAACGTTTTTGGGAGATTTTGATGTTCCCTCAGCTAAATATAAAGTGGTAAGTTTCAATTAAATGTTTATAAATTAGAACGTTCCTAAGCTTCTTGTAAAATTATTTAAGCTATTACTAATCCATTTTTTATTATTTTTTACCTACGAAACTTGATTGTGACAATATCCTGAATTATTGAAACACTCATATCAAATAACTTCGTTAACTATTGCATCTAGGGTGTCTCATTGAAAATGGGACACAGAGCAACTGAAGATTCTCTAATTAAAAATACGATGATATAACTAAACATAAAATATTACTGGTTTCTGAAATACAGAGTGTTAAAATTGAAAATTAAAAAAAAAATATATATTATTGGCTATATATATTTTTTTAATTTCACAATATAATTTTACTAAATTTAACATTTTTACGTCCTGTCCAAAAACTTATTTGAACTATACTTTTACATATTGGAAACTCATAAAGTAATGGGTTTTCCAGATCTTCACACTCAAATGTGGATATTCTCTATTTAAATTTTGTAATTATGGATTTTTTAATAAAATTATAATGAGCAAATGTTTTTGGTGACATAAGATACACCTATCAGCAAAAAAAGTAAATAAACTTTGCTAGTGGCGTACAGTATGGGTAAGTAACAGCTTCAATCTCTTCTAAATTTTACACGATTCTCCAAAAACTTATTTGGACTATAATTTTTAATTTTTTGTTGGTTTTTAAATAAATCATGTACTCTTGTTGGGAAAAATCCAAAATTACAAAATTAAAATGAAGAATATTCACCTTTGAGTATAAAAATCACTTTATGAGTTCCAAACAAGAGTACATAATTTATTTAATAAATATCAAAAAATTTAAAATTATAGTCCAAATTGGTTTTTGGAAAGTGGCGTAAAATTTAGAGAGGATGAAAGTGCTACTTATCCTTATACTTATGCCGTACATCACTGGCAAAGTTTATTTAACTGCTTGTTTTGCTGGTAGGTGTATCTTATGACAACACATTTTTTTGCCGAATTTAGTAAAATTATACTGAGAAATAAAAAAATTATAGCCATTAATATTTGTTTTTTATTTTTAACTTCAACTATTTCGAAAACAGTAATATTTTATCTAAACCTGTTTCGTTTAATTATTCTTAATGAGAAACCCTGTATAAATATTTTTGTTTTGTATTAAAAAATTTGTATTTGAAAAATTAAAATATAAAAATTTAGTTGTTACTTATTAAGTCTTCTTACCCATTGTGTTCCACAATGTGGATCAAAGAAAATTACATAATATTATGTATATTAATTTGTACTGATTTCATAAAAATAAATATATAACTAGCTACAGTCCAAAAACTTATTTGAACTATACTTTTACATATTGGAAACTCATAAAGTAATGGGTTTTCCAGATCTTCACACTCAAATGTGGATATTCTCTATTTAAATTTTGTAATTATGGATTTTTTAATAAAATTATAATGAGCAAATGTTTTTGGTGACATAAGATACACCTATCAGCAAATAAAGTAAATAAACTTTGCTAGTGGCGTACAGTATGGGTAAGTAACAGCTTCAATCTCTTCTAAATTTTACACGATTCTCCAAAAACTTATTTGGACTATAATTTTTAATTTTTTGTTGGTTTTTAAATAAATCATGTACTCTTGTTGGGAAAAATCCAAAATTACAAAATTAAAATGAAGAATATTCACCTTTGAGTATAAAAATCACTTTATGAGTTCCAAACAAGAGTACATAATTTATTTAATAAATATCAAAAAATTTAAAATTATAGTGCAAATTGGTTTTTGGAAAGTGGCGTAAAATTTAGAGAGGATGAAAGTGCTACTTATCCTTATACTTATGCCGTACATCACTGGCAAAGTTTATTTAACTGCTTGTTTTGCTGGTAGGTGTATCTTATGACAACACATTTTTTTGCCGAATTTAGTAAAATTATACTGAGAAATAAAAAAATTATAGCCATTAATATTTGTTTTTTATTTTCAACTTCAACTATTTCGAAAACAGTAATATTTTATCTAAACCTGTTTCGTTTAATTATTCTTAATGAGAAACCCTGTATAAATATTTTTGTTTTGTATTAAAAAATTTGTATTTGAAAAATTAAAATATAAAAATTTAGTTGTTACTTATTAAGTCTTCTTACCCATTGTGTTCCACAATGTGGATCAAAGAAAATTACATAATATTATGTATATTAATTTGTACTGATTTCATAAAAATAAATATATAACTAGCTACAGTTTTTTTTATGTGCGGCCAGCCAATCCCCTTTGGCCGTGTACCAAAAAGTTTAGGAACCTCTAGCATCTATGGTGTGTATGTAATTCCCAGTTTTTTATTTACTAATTAAATTAATTAAACGCTTAGACATTTTTCGGCTGTTTCACATTTATTAGTGGGCCATAGTTTTTATTGAAGTTGTAACAGAGCTCCGGCGGATCCAAACGCAGGGGAAATTCACCCCTAAAGCCTCATAACCCTAGTAGAGTGGTGACACCTAATGAAATTTTTTTCCCATACTATGAACACAGAAAATTGCCTCCCTTGAAAAGGTTCTGGGTCCGTTCCTGTGACAATAAATTGCAAAAAAAAACCTAAGTAATGAGTATTTCATATATAAGCAGCAATGTTTTCATAGTATGATGTTAGATGCCTAGCAGATGAATCTAAATATTCCAATTCGAATAAATTTGGTTATGAGCTTAAATAGTCATTTGACTTTCTCCAGTTTTGGCTTGTGTTGCATTTTAATTTGGGACTCTACAGGGGGTCGATTCTCGACTCGTAGGAATATTTTCCTATAGGAATTTTTGACATTTTTATGTACATCGAAAATTTATGACATTTTCCTACATATAGGAAAGTGTCACAAATTCCTATAGGAAAAGGTTCCTACAAGTCGAGAATCGACCCACAGGAGGAATATTGGCATGTTGATTGTCTTTTATTTATAAGTGAATTAACAACTTATTTAAACTACCACCTTTATTTCGTGCTGCTGAAAAGAAAATCTTCAAAATGGTCTGGAGAACATTTGTATGATACAAGAAAACTCATTACATATCTGCTGCTTGACTACAATAATCATTGTATATTTCTCTGATACTTTAAATACCCATCCAAATCTTCTTTTTTTGTTTCTTATATACAGCTTAGATAATTACATATCGAAATAATTCAAAACAAAAATTTACGTTTCAAGAAATAAAGACCGCGAAACTGCCAAAATTTAATGACATTGACACAGGATGTTAATTTACAAGCTATTAGATGTCACCTTATGTATAACATAAAAAAAGTGTTAATTATAATGTTAAAAATTAAAAGTTACCTACCTGTAACATACTATTACAATAAGAATTAGGCAAAGTAGCTTCCAATCCGGAAAAACTAGTTTTATTATAGTGATCAAATTGAAATTCATCAGTACCCAACTTATTATATTTAACATCAACTTTCCTATATCTTTTTGGTATGGCAATGAAGATACCATTCTCCTCGTGGTGTTTTGGGCTTTTATTCAAATGCGAATAATTATTAGGAAACCCGTTTTGTGTAAAATCATATGGTACCTGAAATAATCGATATTAAAATATTTGAATGTTTTATATTCAAAACTACTTTACCTACTTAAAATAATTTATAAAGGGATTTCAGATTCAAGAAATGAAGAATGGAATTAAAAATTAATAACATTTATTAGTTTAAATGAAAATAACAAGTAGTTTTTCAACAAATCTGTTTTAAAAATAAATAAAATTCTGTATTTTTTTGTAAAACCAAAAAAATTATGCCTAAATTATAAATACTACTGATGATAACAAATTTGCATTACTTTTTTTATTAAACAACACAATTATCTAAATGTTAAAATCAGTCAAATGCCTTATACTACAAACTTGATAATATTTATAACCATTAATAAAAATAAACAGGTTTTAACTTATCGAGTCTCACTTGATTTCGTCGAGTTGATTTTGGATTTGGGGAATAACCAATAGGACCCTGCAATTTCATTGAAGAAAGGATTTCTGCATCAATACCTACGGGTTTTCTGTAAAAAATGTTTCAAACAAAATTTTGTAAAAAATCGGATGATTTCGTGATTACATTTACGTCACACTCAAGTGAAATGAGATTTGCTAATTCTTGAAATTAAATGTATAATTTAATGAAGAGGTCGCTCGGAAATCACAGACATGTCTGAAAATTGGACATACACAGACAAACTTTTCAAAAGTACTGTGCACATGCAAAACAATAAATTAAACAATTTGGCCGAATTTCTTATAAAGGCAAAATATAGTTTAAAAAACAGAAACAACAAATGACATTTATATATTTTAACGGTTTTCTGATTGGTGTTTGAGATATTATAGGCTCTATATTTGAGATTATTATTTTTTGAATTATTGTTTCATATTTATAAAAACAAAAACGTGAAAAATTCATCAAACAATCCAAAGTTTAGAGTATTTTACATATGATTTATCACACATTTACTTAACATTTTCATACATATAGCTCTACAAAGAATAGCTATTTATGAAATCAGTTACGTTATTTTATATTACGAGTGAATATTTGCAAGACGAGTAGAGCGAGGTCCCGCAACATGAACGAGTTACATAAACCGGCATTTCATAAAGTGCTAAATACAATATTTTTTCTAATTTTGACTAGTTTATTTATAAAATTGTGTTATGGTAAAAAATTACTGATATCTAGGCAACCAATATTACTAATTTCTTGTATTGTTAGTGGTACATGATTAACTTCATTATTTTATTGACAAATATTCATTTATTCTCAACTACTTATTGTAGTGTTTATATTGCTTGTTAAAGTTATTTAGATTTCAAGAAAGTGGGTTTTTTGTCGTGTATTTTGTCTAAATTATTATGTGCTGATTTAGAATGGAAAATAAGGACCAAAACAACATTATTACTAGGATGTAAGTTTAACCAAATTCTATTTTCAATAATAATGTACACTATTGATTTTAAAACCAAAACTGTTTTATTTTAATTTTTTTTTCTTTTCTCTTCTTCCTTTTCTTTTTGCAACTGGTAACAATGAAATTTTCAAAACCAGTTTCATAATGTTCAACATTATGCAACTAGTTGCGTAAAGTAGATCATTTTAACACTTGCGATTATTGTTTTATTAAATATTTAATATATCAATTTTAAAATCGTTAGGGCATTAACTAGTCGACAACATGGTTAAATGAAAAAGATAAACTATATGTAGTTAAAAGGTTCTTATAAAACAGATTCTGCTCTCCCCTGAGTGGTTCCGGCAGACTCCCCAATCAAGCTTGAGATCAGCCACTGGCTCACTCCCCTTAATCATACTAGGGGTCCAGCCTGCTTTTCCCTCCTCTGTAGACACTGCAGCTTAAATGGCTTATTGTACTAACATTTAGATGTCCTACTCCTTCATATTCAATCAACTCATCCATTTTACCGATCCATTCCACCGTCTATGGGGGCCCCGAGCCCTGCGAGTTCAGTCAGCCATTCAGACCGTGACAGGGCCATCACTGCTGGGGCATATGATCGGCGTTTTGAAAACCTTCCGGCGCAGCCAGTGCTACCTTACACTTTTATATCAAGTTTTTTCAAGGTCGACTACTTTTCAGGATGTGTTCGAACATGTCTGTTGGGAATGTCCATAAATTACTTTTCTGGAAAAGACTGATCACTAGTATCATTTAAGAGACGGAGTCATACATTCATTATTACATAACCAAAGTTTTGATGTGTTTGATGGGACTTGCAGGTGAAGCCAGTGCATCCGGCTTTGTAGAAAACGTTCTTTATTTCAAGCACACTTGCGGCCGGTTGCGAGAACATTCATTAAAATTTACGAAGCTGATAAACTTTGACAGATATTTAGACTAAGTACCAAAATACAAAGCACCTCTAGAAACCTCATGCAAATACTAGACTTCTACATCAAATTAGCGCCACCTTGTGTTTGGAGTCAGAACTGAAATGACAATTGACAAATGGAGATAAATTCACACTGAATTTTTGAATAGTAGTTATATAGTAAATTACATTAAGATTGTGAAAAATCATTGTCACACAAATAATTTACAATATTTTTTTACGACCACAAAATAATTTTATCAAAAAAATGTAAAACCACGAAATCTGGCTATAAAGATTCCATCACGATGTGGATGGTTTTAAATTTGTTTTTTTAAATGCCTTACTCAATAATTTTTAACGTGTTTTACAGATGGTGTTTTTTTTTTTAATTAAAAACATCATGATTCCATTTACAAATTAGATGAACCACGGTAAACAAAAAATGTTTTTGTTATTATAATGATTACCCACTTATCTACTCGCAATTTTTTTCTGAAAAGAAATTAAAATATTACAAAATAAATAGCGAAGATTAACTGTAGGGGTTACATTATGATATATAACATGTACTTAAAATAAGTAAATAGTCGTATTTTTCCAATTTACATATTTTTACAAAATAAAAAAGATGCTTTAACGAGAATTGGACCACGTCACGACATGGTCGCGAAATGCAAGGTTGAACACTCACAGTTATGTCACTTGAATTATCTAATCAAATATGTATATGAACCAGGAAAAAATATAAATAAGGTAGGTTTAATTTAAAATTATTTTAATAATTTGTCAAAAAGAAATTTCTAAGATCTATATAAAAAAATTAATGTTAACAATTTATCATCAAATTGATTTTACTATTAATATGGACATTTCATAAATCAAAATATAAATTATGCGTCTGACATAACTGACAGCTTATGCGGAAAGTAAATTCATATTCACACGGATTGAAAATAAATTCTTATTCACACGTGTGTGATAGAGTACTTGTCATAAGACTAAATAGTGCGACAGGTGTCACTTTCCTAAGTGATCGTAGGAAAAATTAAATTCTAAATCAATTCTGCATAAGTCATATCATAAAAAAGTAGGAAATAGAACATTCACAAATAACCAAGAAGAAACTATGAACACAAATAAAACGCCCACAACAAAATCAATATCAGGCCGAAAAGTCGGAATAACCATATAAATAAATATATCAAATCTTTGGTGATAAGTTTTACCATTGTATTTAGATATCCTAGTAGATCAACCTTAAGGACGTTTCATTGGAGGCAATTCTGTCGCGACATCTGTACAGAACTTTACCAAAATGGCTCGTGTGCTAGGCGCTCCCTCGATCATTTAGTATAGAATTCTATGTACATAAGTTTTCTTAATTTTTAAATTCATTTGGGTAGACTGCTAAATTTAAATTAATATTGTTTATATTCTCTAAAATGATAAAAATTGTAAATAAATGTTCTTCAAGCATAATTAAACTCGAATATCTAATTTTTAAAACAAATATTCTGAATCGATTATCTATTAGTAAATAGAGAAATTACGTTCGTTATTCAGTTTCGACAACCTGGTAGAAGACGACAAAATTGCCAAAGACATGACTTGGGACACCACGGAACTTGCGGCCTTCTATTGATACTGTCCATTGTCCTCCAAGATAATTTGCATTGGAATTGTTCTACTAGTTGATCTAAATACAATGGTTTTAGCAGTAACGCTACCTACTGTTTGGAGACAGTAACATAACAAATGTCAGTTGTCGGTTTTGTCCTTGATCAGTCAAATGGAATATGTAAATATGTGCTTTGTGGTGAGAACTTTGGCGGTCCATAACATTTAACAACGTTCTTTTAATCGACTGTTGTTTTTAAACATTACCAATTAAATTTACTATATATGAACATCAATTTAGAAATTTAACTTCGCAAATATGGTGATCATTTTTATGAAAAACGCTTGTAATCACACCTTTGTGTGGTCGCCATTGTTATGATAAGCAATTCGATGCGCCAGTGATAAGAGCTGATTAGGATCTATATCTGTCACGGGCATTTGACTGCTTGAAAAATCATTCCATTGGCTCAAACTTTATGGTAGCACATTTACAAATCTTCATAATTAACTTTTCTCCTCTAGGAGGCTTTGTATTACGAGAGTCATTATACAAGCTAATATTTTTATTATTTGAATTTTGTTAGGAATATATTGTATGTATTTCCAACATAAAGTAATTTTTGGACTAGTCCGTCTGAAAAGTATTGAAAAGTGGTGAAAAGTCACAATGAAAAGTAGTCGACCTTGGGCATAGAAGAGACACAGATGTTTTTTTCAAAAACAATTTGGGAACAATATTTGCATTTATATTTTCGCTTTTTTAGGCAAATAATTTGTGAAATATTTCCAACCTTTGGATTTTTTGGTAATTTTTTCACGTGTTTATTTGAAAACATCGTTAAAACATATAAAAGTTAGTAATCATTTGTCGTTTCTTAAGACAAATTTAATTTCGCGCATGTGCAATACACTTTTCCACTTTTGAAAAGTGTGTTTGGACTAGTCAACCTTTACAGACTAGTCCGTTGGACTTTTCTGTGCACTTTTCCAAACGACCCATCACTAGATTATATTGAATACCCTAGTATGATATTTTCTATTACCGAAGAATTGGATATGTTTTAATCCATCACTGAAAAACTGTGCGCCTAGATAAATAAATAAAATCTGTTTAAATTTAATCACATTTAATAGATAATGTGACAAGTCCAGACTTATTTGATGACATAAATGTAATGATAAATTGATCTGACTATAGAAGGTGTCCCAAACCTGACAAACTTCCATATCTTCATTATATTGAGATATAAAAAAAGGTAAATCATTGGTCCTGAGCTCCATATTATAAAATTAGTTAAAAATATACAGAGTACGTCACTGCGTGATACAACATAAAGTTACGTATTTTTAATTGAGACACCCTATATTTTATTCATAATTGGGAAAGGAGAGTTCAGGTGACAGTTTATACTGGGTATATCATAAAATGTGACCAATATTACATAAATATCTGTAACCCGATTAAAATATTATTTTATTTTATAAAGAGTTGAAGTAATGTTAAATTTGGTAAAATATAAAATCTTTTCATTTGATAGACCTCTTTTAATACAGGGTGAAAAAAAAATCACATGAATTATTTTATTAAAAACACAAAAACAACACAAGGTAATATTAATATAATAACTATAAATATTTTGTATTTTATTAAATGTTCAACATTCTTATTTATATTTATTTTTTTCAAAACTTTGTTTATCTAAAGTTATATGGATTCTAAATTAATAAATATTGGTTTAGTACTGGTATTTAACTTGTTTTTTTTTTGTAAGTAAATTCTTGTTTTTTAATAAAGATTATAAAATCAAATTTACAAAAATACAGATAAATTTATTATAAATTTGAATATTTGACAGAAGATATATTATCTAATATTTGAATAGTATGAACTAAAACATTATTATGGAGGTATGTACGAGTATATTAATTTAGAGTCGATATAAAATACAAAAAAAATTAAATAAATGATATAAATGTTTAATAAAGTATTATATTTTCAGCGTTTTTAAATAGTTACCCACATGTAAAACCTTAAAGATAGAAATGTCAACGTCAATTCAAAGAAAAAGTAGAGTTGGATGAGAACCAAATTTAATAAAAAGTGTACGCCTTTGTGAGGCATATGTGCGAGTTTCTATTCCCGAACTTATCAACTAAACAAAATATGTGTCGATGAAGCAAATGTGGCCTTTGTCTTAAAAAAAAAGAAAGAAGAGTTGATGCTTTCAGATTTTTACAGAGTAAAATTGCTTAATTTTTAAAGTTTTTGTAAAAATCTATTGCTGAAAACTTCCTTCTGCCACGTAGGCAAAATTATTGTATTTTTCTCTTTAAAAGAACCAGATTTTTTTAATTATACAGTCAATTTTATTTACTTCACATTGTGATTAACCAGCATAAACATTGTATGTGCCATTTTTTTTAGCAAATATTTAATAAAATGATAGAAAGAAAAGCTTGTAAAGAATGTCAGATTAAAATAATTAAATCAAGCTTTAAGGTTTTGCATGTTGTTTGTAAATTTAAGATACTTTGCAAAAATTTGTACTATCAAACTTTGTCAAGAGGTTTGGGACATTATATACAGGATAGGCCACTGGTTATACCTCAGATTTAGAATAAATTAAATAGTTTTGACTGTTTTTACAGCAAGATGTATATCAGAAAAGGCAACAATTTAAACATAATTATACAGAGTTCACCAGGAAATTGATACATATCAAAGTTAGTATTTTGAGTTTTGACTAACACCATACAGATTTGTTTCGAAAGAGTACATCGGCATAAAATGTTGGCTAACATTGAAAAACTTTTCTTTCGCAGAATAAGTCATTGAAATCAATACAATTTTCATAAAAAAAAAAACTGGTTATAGCATGTGAAATACCCTGTATAATCTCATACTATTTTGTAATGTTATAATGGGAAAAGCAAGAGCAATTCAAATAGAAAAAAATAAAAGTGTTCCATTTGAAAAACCTAACTTTGAAATGTATCAATCTCCTGGAGAACCCTGTATAATTGCTGCCTTTTCTGATATACCTCTTGCTGTGAAAACAATTAAAAAAAATTTTTACCCCACAGACCGAGGTGTTATCGGGGGCTTATCCTGTATATATAATTTAGACTAAATTTGAAAAGTTTGAGAAAAAAAAATTATATATGTCAATCTATCTCCAACCTTACCTGTAAAGTTTTTGTATAAGATGTTGAGGCCAATCAGACGCCAATGGTATTTCTGGTGGAACTATAGGCATTGGAATAACAGAAAGAGGTGTATTGTAGTCATCAATGCCAAAACTTGGATAAACATTAGGAGTGTCAGGCATTTCACATGGTCTAGAGTAAGTATTAACCACAGGGTCTGTGGATTTGGAATGTGAAAATGCATGAATGTGACCAGAACTGTCTCCACATGCCATTATTTGATTACTAGATGATATATCAAATGTTAAACACATCGCACCTAAAAAAATATTGACCCTTATACTACTTTATCCTATAATTGATAATCTATATATCAAAAACATTTAATTTTTTTATTAATTTAGCAACTCTACCTGGATTTTCCATCTGAAATAGGCACAATTTGGGTTCAACCAAAGCTATAGTATCTAGTAATTGTATCTGTCCCATAACAGATACAACTGCTAATCTGGAAGATATTGATGGTATGAATTTTAAAAAGAATGGATCTAAAACTGTTTGCATGGGAGATACAGCCCTTAACATTCTCAAATCATAAACCATCAAAAATCTATCAACAGCTAATGCATTATGCCTAAAAAGATTATTTATGAAGTAGTGTCAAAAAAGGTTAATTTATTTTTGATATAAAACTGACTATGAGTAACAATTATTTTAATATCAATGTATTTACCTATTACTGAAACCACAAGTCACTAGCAGATTCCCTTGCACATCAAAATCACTGAGACTGCCAGTATGTGTATCAATGCTGTGCTCAACATTTAAAGTATTAGGATCTCGTAGATCTATACGTCCCAATGGGTTGCCAGCACACACAAATCTACTGTGTGGTCTTAACATTACACAACCCTCACCTACATCGGTCTAAAAAATGTTATATACTTTTAAAAGTAAAAATAATTCAAAATAAATCAAATTATATCCCAGGAAGTGAAAAAACTCACCAGTATAGTTTCTTTGCCTACACTCAGATTAAAATCTATTAATTTTTCTTGATGACTGCCTAACAGAAATCTGCTTGGCGACATTTGTAAAATACACTGCATTTCATTCATGTTTGGAGAGCTAAAAATTGTATTATATTTGAAAACGTCAGAGTCTGAAGTTAAATTTCTGTTCGTTTTAAAATTAATACGTTTTTTTAGAAGGACTTTTATTAACTTACGTATGTGTATATACAGGTATTCCTCTCCGAATTTGATATCTCAAAGTACTAGAAGTCAATGCTAGAATACCATCATCTAAAGTTAAAATTTGTCTCACTTCTTCAGATGCATGTATTTGAAAGGATGTATATTTTGATAACCCTGGTGCAATATAAGATGTGACATGGCCCTAGTAAAAAAAACCAATGTTAGAAAAAACAATAAGTTCATGTCAAAATATTTTAAAGTAAAAAATGAATAAGTTTAAATAATTTGGTATAAACACTTTTTATTGATCATGTATTGCAATAAAACTTTAATTGAAATCTATGAGAAATGAAAAAACAATCTGAAACTAGTATTTCTGAAAGTTACGTCAAATATTTTATTTATAAATATTTAATGGACAAGATATAATTTAAGATAAAATTATTTATCAAAAATAAAAACACTTTCTTAGTAAAACAGATCAAATATTTTTATATATTTATTTAAGCCACTGCATATTTTGGATATAGGTATACCATCATCATAAATTATAAAAAAAGAAGCTAAATTTAATTGCTACAGTAAGTCTTACCTACTAGAGCATTGTTTTTACTCTGTTGGATAAGTTTCTGTCACATTTTGGTTACACTATTTTAGATATACAGTATGTTGTTTTCTACAATGATACCAGTAGAAAAATATAGATTAGACAGAGGTAGAACAGTGCGCACCAGTCCACTAGTGGTAGAGGTGTTCAATAACGGCAGGCAATCAGTTGAGCCTCTCTTTCTCTTACATGCAAATATAATTAAGCGTAGGATCCATGTTTTAACATATTGTATGTATGTTAGATCTTTGTTCTTTTCTCTCATAATACTGATATGTTGTGTAATGTGTTTTTTATATTGTTACATATTTGTACCTAAACTTCTAAATATGTGCTATGTATGTAATATATTTAATTTCATATTTAAAATTGCCAATTTTGAAAGTTTTCATTTTTACATTAACCTTTCCATTGTACATTCACTTATGTACCCATTACTTAAATTTTTTAAATGTTATGTTAGCTGCTTAAAATATTTTCATCTATATTTATATGATTTAATTATAAGCTAATCAGATGTCCATAATCTTGTTATAGCACAATTTTATCACATTGACGTTTTGGGGTTTCTTTTAAGGGTTGATGTCCATAAATGATAACTAATGTTAAAAGAATTGTAATACCCTTGAAAATTAAAAATTAAATTCTAGCTTTGCTTGTATTATGATAAATAATTTGGTATGTCACAAACAACTACTAGATTATGCATGTTTATAAAAATCAAATTGCACACTCTCAGTGTCATACATGTAGTTGTCAAATTATTATGAGTATGGGAGTCTCCTTACAAAGATTATAATTTGAAATTACCTCAATATAAGTCTCTTAAATTCATGAAATGCTTTCAAAATTACATTAAGTAGTTGCATTCTCAACCCCAGTTTTTATCAATTTAATGTATTTTTCTCGTTACAACTGTCATAGTTGATGTCAATTTCCAGGAAAATATGAAATTCATTTAAGTGTGATAGAGTTGTAAATATTCATACATTCATAAATCGCGTGCTCACACCCCAGATAAATAAACATTCCCACTCAAACTGACAACCATCTCACTCATTCTAATGAGACAGCCGATGAGAGAGCTCTATCTGTTCAATATAAAACACAATCTGAATGCTTGCAATAAATAAATGCCTAATTATGAATGAATGGATCAGTCTAGAAGTTTTTTGTCCGTAAAACCAATAATAATTTTTAAAATAAATAATTCCTATGAGCACTATTTAAACGATTTAATAACTGTACTCAATAATACTTATTGGTAAACATTATTTTTAAGTGAAAACAAATAATGTATATTTATAAATTGCAACACAACTATTTCAAAATGTGTTCTACTTATCCTGCAACGTATTGATACAGTATAAAAAGAAAATGTAGGACGTGTAAATATTGTTTTTCTTACTCCCTGATTCCCCATCCACAAAAGTTCTTCATGTTTATCAAAAGTTAGGGCTGAAACCCCAAATCTATCACCTCCATCTGCTAAAATGCAATGTGTTTGTAGATAGTCACCATCTATTCCCACTAAGCCAGGATTTTCTGGAGCGCCTACTACGGCTAACTAAAATATTTATTGAAATAAAAATAAAAACAACCCTAATTTTTAGTCGAAAAAATTACTTACCCCGGTATTGTCGAAATACATTGTATATTTCGTTATTGTATACTAAAAAGATAGAGAGTCTGCATATTTATTTTTTAATGAATTAAATTAATTACTAACATGTGTATTGAACACGATATGAATAACATAAAAAGCAACAGATGGAATAATAATATCAATATTATTTTTATAGTGCATGAGAGGTTGACGGTTAATTGACAGTCGGATAAATTTTGACATATCCATCCTACTGATAGCAGCGCCCCGTAGCGCTTGCATGTTATAACATCTGAGCGTCTATAAGAAGGAATGCTTCCGTATGTTGTCAAATGTATCAACGAATAAATTGGTGAAGTAATCTTAATTATGAAACTTACCTTTCTACTCTTCTTCTCTACTCTTCTACCCTACTCTACTCAAAGGCAATACATACTATTTTATAAATTTTCCAAAGCCTTGGCTGCAATATCGTAAAAAAAATTATTAAATTATCAGGCAAAATACATATTCAAAATGTGCATTATGAGTGAAAAAATGAGGTCGAAGTGTATAGGGTTGCCAGACGTCCCGCTTTAGGCGTAATTGTCCCACTTCTTCATTTGCCAACCATCGAGTCTGTTAGAACGAAATTATTGGAGAATGATCTCGTTCCACAAATGAGCCGAGAAATATTCAGAAAAATAGTGCAGGAGTTAAAGTTTCGATATGCCAAACGTTTAAGGACCGATTCCACCGTTGTGTTAAACGGAGATTAAAATGACATTGTTGATGTAAAAATGTCACTTTTAACTTCGTTTAGCACAACGGTGGAATCGGTCCTAATAGACACAGAAGAGATAGTTTCCTGGTGACGAAAATATCTTAGCTCTATAAGAGAACATCGTTCGGTAAACAAGACTATGGGTGAGATTACAGAACGTCTGCAACTTTGCAGATCTGCAAATATGGCGGACTTACAAATGCAAGTATTCCAAAAAATATCTGCAAATTCGCAATATTTATTGTGGTTTATTACCCCCAACAACACTAAACCCAAATTTGGAATACGAAAACTTGATACTTGCATGTGTAAGTTAGTCATATTTGCGGATTTTCAAAGTTGCCGCCATATTTGCAAATCTGCAAAGTTGCAGACGTTCTCTAATCTCACCCTATATTATCTGGATGAAAATTGGGTGAATGCTGGTCACACAGTATCTAAGATCTAGCAAGATACACACTCAGGCACATTAGGTTTAAAGTTAGTTTAAATATGGTGACTTTTGAATATGTAACAGGAAAAATGTTCACAATGCACATTGCTTTATATATGATCAAAAAATGAACTTCTCGCCAGAATTAATCAAATACCACACAAAAGTGATGCTTTTAAATATTTATTCATTCTGAAGTGAGCGATTCTACAGTGGCCGGTTTTGTAGCAGTAATTTAAATAAATTTGCTTATTTCTTGATATCTTTGCATATTTATGCTAGGAGATTCTGTTTGTTATCATCTTAGACCTAATAGAAAGGCATATTATGTATTAAGTGAATAATTAACACGTTAAGCCCAATGCCGAGAATATCAACCACAGAGAAGCGGCAATAACTGTCGGTCCTTTGAAGTTCGGAGAGTAAAATTTTGTGACCCTGAATTTGACTTATGAGACGGATGGCCGGTATAATACATCAAGAAAAAAATTAATGGAGAGCAATAAATGCTATACACTGAGAAAAAATATTATATTGATATTAAAAATATTATTTTTCCTTACTTATCTTGCATAAAATTTATATAATTAAATATTGGCTTTTATTATAGTAGTTTTTGTCACGTTAAAACTTTTAATTTGATTTTTCCTAAAATAAAAAACACGCTAATAGACTTTTCCCGTTATTAATATCTATACGTGCTTCTTTTTATCCAACTGTTGCAGCAACGTTGGCGTCGGCATCTGTCCTTTTTTCATCATTAATCTATCAATGATGAACTAACAGCGCTGTCTTTTTATCCAACGTTGCTGCAATCGATGCAACACCAATCCATCAGTTTCATGTATGGTTTTTCCGATTAGATGTGTCAACTGACAGCTGGATTGCGGGAAATAAGCAGAATTAAGGAGTTAATTAATTATTTGTTCTATTGCGGGAAAAGCCGAAAAAATGGGCTTTTAAAAATACAGACTTTCAAATTAAAGCACATAGGTACATTCAAATGAAATTACAACTGTTATTTATTTCAACGGTCAACTATAATTAAACCGAATCCAACAAGGTTGCATCGGTGAAACAGCGATTCCAACAAACCGATGGAAAAAAAGACACGTTATTACTCATACGCAAATCCTGTTAAAATTAAAAATTTGTTGTTATGTTTCCTACACTGAGTTCCAATTACTCATCCGTAAATGTCATTTTTAACTTTTATTATTGGCAAAATTACAAATATTTCATTCATTTTTACCTTGTAGAACAAAGAAATACTTGCTAGTCCCTACAGCGATGGAGTCCTCGATAATGCCTTGTGCGAATGTGTACCAAAAAAGTAACATTGCCCTTCCTTCTGTATAGACTAGATGGCAGTTGTTTAAAGTAACGATGGCAGGGGGTAATCGTCGTAGCCAACCCAACAGTTGTAAGGCGAGGACATAAGAGAGATAAAAAATAAGTTGTAAGGAAAATTACTAGATTCAAAAGTCCCGACTTTTGTCGCGCATGAGTAATGTGAAATTGTCGAAATGGGAAAGGTGAATTGTCAGTTTTTTAAATAGCAAATAAAACACATTTTTATAAAAACAAAATATATTTTTAACTACAACAAAATGAACAGGCCAGAATCACGACTAAACTAGTTAAACTGGCAAGTTATCTAGGTGGCAAGCACGTTGAAATTGAAATGACAGTTGGTCGGGTTACCCCTCGCTCCATTTTTTTTGCGGGAACAGTTTTGTCGCTTCTCTTGCGATTGTTCTTCTCAGCCCCATGTATACCATATTGATATACAACGGTGTTTTCTCATAGACCTTGTGTACCTAATATAGTCCAACATTAGAAGATTGGGAACAAACTTATTATGTGGCTCTCTCAAGGCCACAGCTAACGTGATTTTTTTTATGGGTTAGAATGTCCGGTCTACAGTAAACAAAAAAATCGCTTGGTCCGTCATAATCAGATTTTAATTGTGTCACAATATGGTCCAGGATAATGCAACATTTTTGTGTGGACCGTGTAACACATTTCTACTTTATTTTACAAAAAAAGTATTTTTATAACTTTTACTAATATACAGGGTTGGGATAAAGTATGGTACCAAGTAAATATCTTCAAAACGAAAAGGACGATATTTATGAAACTTTGCAGGCAGGTACGACAGTTTCACCGGAAATACCATCATCTTTTTTAAATTAAAGGGGACACCCTGTATATTTTTGCAGATTTAAAAAGATCTTGTTATTCCGAATTCGTACATACTAAGTTTAGTGGAAATTATTTGTAAAAACGAGTGATAAATCACTTTACATTTAAGGAATAGGTAAATTTATATACTTTAGTCTAATGAGAATAATACTTTAAACAAAATCACTTCAAATGTTCAAAATGCTCGCCGTTCACCTCCTGACAATATGGAAGTCTATTAATAAATTCGTGAGTCACTCTTTCCAAGACTTCTCCACGTATTAGTTCACATTCATCAATAATTCTTTGTCTTAAATCCTGCAAGCATGTTGGTCGTCTAACGTAAACACGTGATTTTAGATAACCCGATAGAAAAAATCTAACGGGTTGAGGTCCGGAAAACGAGCTGGCCACTCTATGAATCCTCTACGTCCACCATCGATTTGTAAAATTCGCATCTAAAAATCCCGTCGATCATAGTGGGGAGGCGCTCCATCTTGTTGAAACCAAAAATGTTGTGGTAACTGCCAAATTCTTTTGAAGTGCAGGAAATACTTGTTACCATTCAAGTTTTCGTCTATAAAAAATGGGCCTATAAGCCTCTTTTCGACAATTCTCATCCAAACATTCAACTTTTGTGGATACTGGGTATGTGCTTCATGAATCCAATGACGATTTTTATTTGACCAATATCTAGAGTTATGGCTGTTAACTGTTCCATTTAAACAGAAAGTTGCCTAATCGGAAAACACTATATTAGCTACAAATTGTCCATTGTCATTACAAATATCCATCATTCGTTCGCAAAACTCCATGCGTCGGTCAAAATCATCATCTCACAATTCTTGAACCAAATGTATTTTATACGGATGATACTTTTCAATTTTCAGTATTTTCCTTACAGAACGTCGACTTATATTATAGTTCAGTGCCAAAATTGTTGTAGAAGTTTGAGGTGATTCCTTTAAATCAATTGCAATGTTTTATCGAATAGCTTCGTTCGTTGCGTTCTTCTAGTTTTTGGCAAATTTTTGACCATCCCAGTTGCATTAAAACGTTGTAATGTTTTAGTAACCGTTGAACGTGATATGGGATTTCTTTCAGGATGCAAATCGTTAAAAATATGACAAACTTCTTCATGAGTTCTAACACGATCACCATAACCGATCATTAATATTACAATACGATCTTTTTTACTTGAAAGAACCATTCTTAATCGTACAATTTATTTTTGGCAATTAGTTTGGCAACAGTTACCTACTAGATAGTACTCGTTAATTTCTTACTACGTTGTATTAATACAAAGAATTAACTAAAAACACGTGTTTACGTTTTTATTCTCATTAGTCTAAAATAAAAAATTACTTTAATAAATAATTTCCACTAAACTTAGTATGTACGAATTCGGAATAACAAGATCTTTTAAAATCTGCAAAGTATACAGGGTGTCCCCTTTAAATTAAAAAAGTTAAGGTTATTTCCGGTGAAACCGGGAGTACAGTAGTAACAAAAAATATTGCATCAGATGCGTTATGCGTCATTGTACTTGCCTGCAAAGTTTCATAAATATCGTCCTTTTCGTTTTAAAGATATTTACTTGGTTCCATACTTAATCCCAACCCTGTATTAATTTTAATTCAAATTTGGCAAACAAAGTTGTCTGGTCTGATGTGAAAGTTTCCCTTTAACACCTAGAGGCTTAACGTGTTAAGGTCCATGTTTGTAAATGGAAATTGGCTGGGAGTGTCCTTGAACTAAAATCGAAGTTTGGATATCACCAAAATTTAGAGATGATCAGTAACAAATCTGTAAATATTATGTGCAACTGTCAGTTTCTAAATCCCAGAGCAACGCTGGAACTAACTGAAATGCCAGAGCAGCTGTACCTGAAATTAGACTTTCTTTAAAGGATACCAAACTCGATTTCAATTGGATTGAAGCACTACAGACTTTTTCTTAGTTTGACGAAAGCATCATTAGTTCTCTAAAAAAGTATCATATTTCCTTTTTATGATACTTTGTAACTCATACTAAAACTCAGTTCTGCAGATTCCATCTACTTCTGAGATTAGCTTATTCTATTTCGATAAATCATCTCAGAACATTCCAAATAGATTCAAACATTATATCTGAGATTAGACAGAATTAATCACAGAGGTATATCTGATTTTAAAAAGAAAAGAATCTATAAAATCTTTTGTAATCGCAGCAAGTGTCAAAACGATCTACGTTATGCAACTGATTACGAAAAGTTGGTTGTCACCAGTTACTAAATGAAAATAAATAAAAATGTCTTTCTTGGTTTTTAAATAAAAAATCGAAAGAAAAAAAAAACGAAAAACGAAAAATCTAAGAAAAGGCAATGATCAATAGTGACATTTCACATTTGACAATTTGACATTACGTTTAACACAAAAATAAAAGCTGTAAATTGCGTTTTATTTTTTAAATAATACACAGTTATTGAAAATTGTCCAGAAATCGAGGGTAAAATTTACTTACTCCTTTAAGGAAAACGGGTAAAAACAGTTTTTTTTTAATTTCCCGCGGGTTGTGTCAAAAATCAGATTGGCAACACTGCACATGTCCTTATTTTTATTATTTTCTGAAATATTTGATTGAAAGTACCTACAAAAGAATGATGGTGAATCATTTTTTAACCAAAAACAATTTTATAAATAATTAAGTCAAAAAAGAAAAAGTCTTGAATGTAACACATTACGAAATAACTCGTTCATTTTGCGGGATCTCGCACCGCTCGTCCCGCAAATATTTACTCGTTACACAAAGTAAGGCATTTCGTAACTGATTACATAAATAGCTATTATACCATTAAAGGCGAGGTGTGAGTTATAGGTGGTGGAAGGAAAGTCCTTCATTTCTCACAGAGTTAATTTAATAAGTAACCAGTTACATTATCATCAGGCTCGCCTAAATGGACTTCATAATTATCCATTTAGGTGTGCCTGATGATGATGTAACTACACTCAATAAAATAATTCTGTGAGAGTAAAATACTTTTCTTCCACCACCTTTCTCTATAACAATGTAGAGAAAGTGAAGAGGAACTGTGTAATTTGATGTTTCAATAGAAAATCATATGCATCCTTTATTATAAAAACAACAAAATATATTTAATTACGTTTATTATGTAAATTTCGCATGAGTTACAAAAACAAAAGTCTTTAAACTCATTAATAAATACAATCCATTAACGTGGGGTAGCTATAAATCTACTTATTTACCTAAAAACTGAAATCAATACAAAATATTTTATCATGAATATGTTTCAATGATTATCAGTTGACTAGCTGCCATCCATAAAAAATGTAGAGTTGAGCTATTAATGACGCGCCAAATTCGTTAAACCTTGAGTCATCAGAGTACATGAGCGATGTCTACACTGTGAAAGTGATACAGACATTAATAACCCTGCACCACTTCTGTCACTTTAACTTCACTTTTTAAAACAAAATTAAAATATTCTAAGGAGAGATGCAAGAAACAACTTCAAGAGTATTCATACAATGGTTTAAATCTTTTATGTGCATTTTCAAATACTATTTATTCCAGCTTTATAAAATTGCTGCTTGTCGTTGAAAATAGCAGTAAATTCTAACTATCAAAAGATCTTGACTTTAATTTATAATTTTGAGTTCTTTTGAAAGAAGATATATCCAAATTTAATAAATTAACAAATACATAATTAGGCTAGAAGATCAGAATTAGGAGTCACGTTTATCTGCCTTAATGATTTAGCCTAAAGTAGGCATAATGAATAAACATTTGTTAATTTTTGGACGATGATGTCTGAATACTCTTAAAATTAGTTCCATTATATGAATGTTAATATAAAAGTACAAAAAACAAAATTTTATAAACTCTAATTTATTTTAAAAAGACCTAAAAATTATAGCTATTCTTGAAAATTATAACAATATTCTAATATTACACATAGATGAAAAATCTACAAAGTAAGCTTTACGTTACAGGATGGCAAGTCAAATGACACTGATAGATGACAGATACGACAAATGTCTAAAATCTACTGGCAGTATGAATGAAGAACGATGTGTTTGACCGCATGATCTTACTTACTAAAGTTGGTTTTCATAGTTAAAAGTAAATCTTGTCTTACAATAGTAATAGGTATATCCAAACTAAAAACTTAATATTTTGATAAATTGCATATTATGTTTCGTTATGTGGAATCTTAGAAAATTATGAATCAAAATTATACAAGAAAGAATGTTTAGTCAAAGACTAAATATCATTGCAGAAATTTGACGCATAAGATTCCAGATCCTCAAATTAGTAGCATATAGAAAAAGTAAACATAAAACTGCATACTTTTTATTTGATAATAAAAATAAATGGTTCTAGCTTAAAACCCAACAAAAGCTCTTTCCTGACTTAACATTCTCAGTTCATTAGTAGAAAAATATAATTTTGCCTCTTATTTTTCATCTATTTCAAAATATATTTTTGTCCATCTCTTCTTTTGTTATGCACAAAATCATTTTTGTACAACAAAATATGACTTGTCAAGTTGAGCTATTTATTAATATGCAATTTTTTTTACTAAAAAGAATATATCACAAATAAACTATCACAAAATTAAAATAGTATATACCGCATGTCCCATTCAAAATCACAAAACATCCTTCAAATATTGCAGATTATTATTTTATGTACACATTTTTGTAATTTTTTATTATAAGATGTGCTAGAGCAACGGACAGCATATATTTTTTGGTACATTTTTAAACTGTCAACATTTTTGGTCATTTTTGTCTGCATTAATGATTTAAAAATATAAGTTTTTTATTAAAAAATTTAACATTAACATCAGTATTCACAAGTCATCTTTAAATATTTACCTACATGTGTATCCTTAAAGATGGAAACGTCAATTCAGAGAAAAAGTAGCGTTGAGCGATATCGTGATTTTTCAAACACACTGTGATTAATAAAACTTAAATAAATGAGGTTATGTTTCCTCAAATCATATTCCATATTCCAAACGTTTATGAAACCGGTATATTAGTAATTAAATAACACGAAATGAAGATAGACTGAAAAATTTATCGCAAGAAATTTTATCGGTTTAATGGCCGAAACAAAGTCAAGTGAAACAATTCAGGAAAAAATTCCAGAATTAGAGAAGTGATAACAAACTAAAGAAAATATGGAAAATTGTTTTGAAAAAATCTGCATCATATTAACAATTACGTCGTTGGATGTATAATGCTCCGGTGGTCTAATGGTTATGCCGATAAAACGACAACTCATCAAAGTGCGCAGGTTCGATCCTTGCTCTGAGCGGATTTAAAAAAAAAAATTCTTTCGTTCCTTATCACTCCTAAGATTCTGTAATTTATTCTTGAATTCGTTCAATTAAATAGTCTGTTAATATCGCCTAACTCTATTAGATATTCATTTAAGTTTATCCATCAGCAATTTACACATACTAGATATACAGTGGCAGAGATAATATTCGGATTAGTCAAGTATTTTGCTGGCAAAATAGAACAGAATAGTCTGATATAGTTGTGTCCTAAAATCAACAGTTTGTTTTAACATAACGAAAATTGCAATAAATAATCCCTTACAAGATCAATAGATTATTAAAGGATAAAGCCGATATTTCCACTTTTTAAATGTATCTGACCAGGCATCTGAAGATCAGTTCTCAAACAACGTCACACCTAGCCAAATCCAGCGAGGTGGATGTTCTCTTTTAATAACTATCCTTCAAAAAATCAACCATTAATATTGTTGTGTGAGATGAAGCGTTATCATGGTGAAGTATTTGCAGATATTTAAGAACATCTGAAAGGTCACACACCATTGATTATTTATTAGGTATTCCAACGATATGTCAAACAATAGCTGGGTTGTGACATAGCCTTCCATCTTGGACGCTATTTTTATTCGAAATAGTAGTCGCCAAGTCTTGCCAATTTATGAAAAATATATAAGTATTTTTTTAAACAATATTTTCTTCGAAATAAAATATTTAAATGACACAATCAATTGCAGCTCTAGCATAGCACTCAAAACGTCAAATAATGACAAACTAGGCAATGAAATGACTTTATTTCTTTGTTTTTTTTTTGTGTGTCATCGGCTTTAACTGCTAAGGTTATCTCGCCTCGTGTTCTGTGTAGGCTTTGTTACAGGACAAAATCTACATTTTATTGGAAAAGAAGAAGAATCCTGTTTTTTCTAGCTTTTTCAGGGGACAATAACCGAAACTAAGACAAGACAAATCTCTTTAACACTGAGAATTGCCGATTCAATACCACCAGAACCCCTTAATTATGCCATTCAAACAAGGAGTGAGGGATGCTATAGTTAGCATAATCATAATAGAACATTGAGGCAAATTTTAGGCGAAGATACTGGTCAATGGTTCCAGAGGGCAACTAATGGGGCTATACGTTAAACTTTGTATATTACTTTTTTTGTTGTATTTATATATTTAAAAAGCTGAATAAATGTATAATCAAACGAAGTGTAGTTTGACGTTTGACTTAATAATACATTCAAGCTTATTGTGGATTATTGATTATTTTATTTATATTTTTATTATTATTATTTCGTATAAGCGGATCAAACTTTCATTATTATAGCCACTAAAAGTGTCATTGGACTATTTTGTGCCTTTGTGTTTAGTTTCTTTTTACTTAAATATGGGACTAAAACCAGAGAGAGAAGAATAGTGGGGTTTCTGTTACCGATGTAGCGCTGGAATACTTTATACAGGTAATAAATGAATACTTGCTCATATACATATTGTCGCGCTAAACAAATAACAACCTATATATAAAATTTACATTTTCTATTTTAATATTCATTCGTTAAATTAAATAATAACAATACTTTATATATTTTAATAAACATTAGAGTCAATTTATAGCTACATTCTCGATAAATGTAAATATAACAGTAGACTAGACAAGTAGTGACCTTAATCGATTAATTTAAAAATCGATTGGGTCAATAATAATGGCACTCTTAGTTTGAGTCTCATCATCGTCTCGTATCCCAATAGAAGAAGTGACGTGACGTCCCCTGGTCGCCTTTAGATGTTTAGCCCTTGGTAAGACCCTTTGTTATATGTATTGTGACTTTTTGGATATATTATTTATCTTTAATAAATTGTTAATTGTTGTTGCTCTTTTATTTTTCCAAGTCAGATAGCACATAGAGTCACTATTTAAAGTGACACCATCACGGACGAAAGGCCCGTGGCAATATAACAAGTAAACATCTTAATATCTTTAATTCAAATATTCGCTAGTCATCAGATTTGTTTTGCTTTTAGGGATACTTCGAGAACTATTAATATCAAAAGCTCACTATTAGATAGCCATTTTGAGTGATGTTAAAGTAAACTGATCAAAGTGGGCGATTAAACATAATATAGCTCATCTCGTCTTAAATTATTTTTGTTATTGTTAGCAATAATAAAATCAACCCTTAACAGAATGAATTTAAAAGCTGTACATATTCATAAAAATTCATTAATTTAAAATTCTAAGAAATTCATTCATTCGTCTTACCTAAATTTATTTTTAGGAGCTACTAATACCAAATCAAAAGGAAATAGAAGAAAAAGAAAACTCAAAGACGTCTTTAAGACAAATTTGTGCTATCTAGGGGCAACCAATAAATACCGCCGTTAGCGTTGTTACACAATGTTCGTGCATGTTGTAAGAGTTACTTTTCATTCTCATTCTTAAAGTAGTGCTGGACGGATATAGTTTCAGTGTTCGAAGCTACTAGAGAAACTGCTCGTCAAGTACAGATTCTTTAATCGTGTTCAAATCGTATACTTCCTGTTTCCATCATTTAAGAGATATAAATTTTAGGTATTGTCGATAAAGATATGACAAGGTAACCAACTTACATTGGAGGGTGAAGAACAAGTACTCGAAGCTGTTGAAATTAGCCTAAAGATATAGAAGACTTGCTAATGAAGTTGGAGTATCCCAAAATATTGTCTGACGTGTACTCTGTCCGTTTTTAGCTTCTTTTTGCAAATTTAGTAAGTTTAACAAACTTACAGGTCAATCATAAAAAAGAGAAAAGAAACACAGAACAAAGTAAAAATTGTTAAATTTCATCATACATAATGGGAAGTTTTTTTAATAAAATTTAAAATGAGTTATTTCTTCATAACAAATTACTGTTGTCAAGTTGTACTAAACCTTAGACTTTTGGACACTAATATAATAATTAGACTTTTTTGTTCTATTATCCTTAAGAACTGTTAAAAAACCATTGAGTATTTATCATATTCAATGTTCAATAAGGAAATGTTGGATTCCTTTATAACTACTTGTTGTTTTTCAATTTTGTGATTAAATATGGGACATCCGATTTAATCGATACTAAATAGTAGGAATAAAATTATCATCCTATAATTCCCAATAATTACAGATATTATTGACCATTTTATTATCTGGAGAACATCCAAGTATTACTAAATAGTTCAATAGATTAAATATTGATATAGGTTAAAAGTATTGATAAATAGACAAACTACACACACTCAAAAACGTTTTGCATATTATCCAGAACACCACTGGAGGTTTTTCAACTTTTTTTTACTATACTTAATGCAACTCTTATTAGGCAAAACAATTCTGACTGTGGGTATTTGTAAATATGTATTTAAAAAATCAGGCAGTTATTACAAGAAATTGACAAACTTATTGAAAACATACAGCAAAAAATGTACAATAGTATTATTTGCTGGATGCTTTTATTGTTGAATGTCAAAATGGCTGTACATGAGATTATAGATCATGCTAATACATTCTAAAATAATATTTATCAACAAAAATAAGTATAACTTCACTCTCAAACATTTATCTTTTAAAAATACTAATTCCTTCCAAAATGTTACAATACATAATACATTTTGACAGATATGTCAAAACTAACGTCAAATTATTCCTCTGGAACCTTTTTCGAGAGTGAAATTACATCGTATTTCCTTTTCTACTATTTGAATCAATACTTGTTAACATCAATATGATAAAAATATACAATATCTCAAGTTCATTAACTTAAAAAGAAAATATTCTTATCATAAAACTGATAAGAGAAATAAAACTAAATAAAAAAAATACAGGTCAAAATGAAATTTATGCCTCACATCAATATGAAGTTTTTGGTATTCTTTCTTTACGGGTGATAACAGTGTTTAAAACTTTGTATTGATGTTAAGTTTTTAAGCCAATATCAGATGGAAACGTTTTTATTTATGTAATTATTAAATTCGTAACTTGCATTGTTTATCCTTTTATCAGTTGGAATTTTTAAGGTTAAGAGGTTTATAGATTTTAAATCTGTAACCATTTCAATGAGATAAAGATGTCAAGCGTAGTATAAAAATATACAAGGTTGTTTACATATTTCTAAAACTTGCGTTTTTCTAAAGACAGCTAAATAATTAATTGATATGCGCTCAGATTAGCATATAAGTGAATAACCTAAACTGGTACAATAGAAACAACGCAAATTTATGTAAAGTATTATGTTAATCCCATGCAGTTTTTATATTCGTCGAGAAAGCCCAATAATTACATTTTTCTGACAAATGACTTAATACATAAATAACAAGTAGACATTTTTGGTGAGATCATAACCACAAAAAAAATATTGAATAGTCGTTTTTTTACTCGAGTCAGCATGCATCATTGAGCCCTTTTAACTCGAAAACCAATGATACAAACAGTAAAAATAAATTATGTGACAATACAATGTCAGTTCTTTTTGTTTTTCTTTTTTGACGTACACACAGCATGAACGATTTGCCGCGGTCAGAAAGTCTCTTTAATTTGACGAGTGCCCATAGCACTGAATATCCCATCGCTAAATAAATGTCCTAAAATTTCTTGCACAAGAGCCACCAAATTATTATGGTATTGTCGTATTTTAAAAACTTTGTAAAAATAATAAATTTGAGTAATTTTGGCAAATATGAAGTTTTTATATTGTTTATACTATTTGACATTAAAATTGTCAACAGTTATGAATGTTGCTTTTATTAATCATTATGGTAGTGACACTTTTTGGTGTGTTATTTGTGTAAGACAAAATTACACATATTTCGTTCATTCTTACCTTGCAGAACATGGAAAATGATGATATCACATATTTGATTAGATAATTAACTTAACATATGTCTTCATGGCTCTGGTTGTTAAGCGATCAATTTCGCGACCCGAGTTAAAATTCTCTGTAAAAGCAATCTTTTTTTATTATTTTATTTTGGAAAATAACTATTCTTGTTTATTTATTTTAAATACATTTTACTTACAATATATAACCCCTACAGTTAGGCAATCCGTTAATCTTTCCGTTATTTATTTTGTATTATTTTGATAAGGGTTCAAAAAAAATTGTAGGTAGGTATCATCTTTAATAATAATAAGTTCTTGATCACAGTTGCCCATCTTATTTGTTGTATTTAAAAAAATAAACTAATGAAAAACATTATTGTATTCTAATATTATTTTACCTGTATCCTATGAAAATGTTTGTAAATGGAATCACAATGTTGTTAATTTAGACAAAACACCATTCGCAAAACAGAAATGATTCAAAATCAATAAGGCATATAAAAAACAAACCTAGAACCAGCAACATCTTCATTGAAACTCCAAAGCTAGATTTTTCCAGTTTTGCATTTTTTTGATGAAATAAGTAAGAAATAGGAATAATAAGTAGGAAAAATATTGTACATATTATGTAAAAGTGATATTTCTCGTTTAATGAACAAGTGTGAACAAGAACTTTTTTATTATTAAAAATGATACCTACTTAGAATTTATTTCTGAACCATATCAAAATAAGTACAAAATAAACAGTGGGAAGATTAACGGATTGCTTAACTGTAGCGCTTATGATAAATAAAATGTATTTAAAATCAAGAAACAGGAAAAGTCGTATTTTTTAAATTTTTTTCCGAAATAAAAAAGATTGCTCTTATTGGAATTGAACCCGAGTCGCAAAATCCGAAGTTGAGCGCTTAACGACCTGAGCAATGAAGGCCTATTTCAAGTTAATTATCTATCCAATATTTGATAATAATTTTCCAACGGCTTTTTTAAGACACCATCATCGAGCGCTTCACCACTGATGCGTCTGCAGCAGAGTATTTAAATTTTCTACAAGGCAAGAATAAACTAAAAATTTTGCCTTGTGGAAAGGTGTACCAAAAAAATGTCTTCGGCACCACCAGTGATCCTTTGTACCTTTTATACTGTGCATTAGTGATGATATAAGATATGAGCCAAACAAAGTTGACCAATTGAGTTTTCAGTGCGATTTGTATATGTTACGGACACTGTTGTAAATTGGGTATTGACGATATTGACCGGACACTAACGTCAGCAGAATCCCAAATAAAATAAAAGATTTACGAAAATGACCGGCCAATATCGTTAAAGACCGAAATATCATCTTTGACCGTAACATATACACTAGATAGTTTTTAACTTTTCCGTTTAAGTGATTTTTAGGTCTTACAATGGTAAAGTAGGCTGATTAAAAAAAATCGTTTACTTACATTAATTTATATTATTTTCAATATTGTATTCAAATGAAAGCTTTGTAAGTTTTACAATACAAATTTAGTTACATGCATAGATACCTTTAAACAATTTTTTACGATCTACAAACCATATATAGGGTAATCAGTAAAATTTTTCAATTTTTGGAACTCTCTGTCAAGATAATAAGTCTCGCAGTAACCGATGAAGAAAATTTTATTAAACCATCAAGATAAATTACTTTTATTTTTTTGGTACGCAAACTGTTGCATGTACGAAAAGAAGTATTGGAATTTTGTTGGAACTGACATTTAAAGAAAAAAGTTCTGAAAGAAATAAAATCTGTACCTTTCAACTGAAAGAACAGACACCATCACAAAATATGTACCAAAATGAGCAAAATTAGCAGTCGAGATATCACTGGAGGCCGAAGAAATAATTATAAATCCTAAGAATTTAAATTTTGTTACAAATGCCTACTTTCATTTTCTTATTGTATTGCAGGAAGAGTGAAATAGAAAAATAATTAAGCGAGAATAATACTCAATAATAATTTTGTAATATCAATTTTCTTCTGAATGCCTAATTAAACGGATGAATGAATGGTTTCTTAGTAGAAACATTTATTGATTGTTTCGATGTAAATAGTATTAAAAATATCAATGGATGCTTTGTTATAGACCATTACAATGTCTAAGACTAAAAGTTTTCAAGAAATTAAAAACTATTTCATTTTCGCCATTTTGAGACTTTCGGCAAACAGGACCCAAATTGCAAAATTTAAATGATCGATAGAACACCCTGTTAAAATATTGGACCATCAAAATGCTTAAAGCTTGTATGTCATGCTTTCGTTTGGCTCACTGACGTCACACTAATGCAAGGGGATATATTTTTACAATTTTTCATTTGAAAAGGCAAATACCAGTAGCCAAAATTAATAATTGATTGTAATTTTTTCAACACACAAATACAGACACTACTGAGGCATACTTTATTTAAATTCGCATAGATAAACGTCATAAATTCATCAACGAAATTACGTAAAATATACAGGGTGGGCCATTGGTAACGCCTCAATATGTAGGACCAAAACTATTTGATTATTTAAAATCTGTTTTTACAGCGAGATGTATATCAGAAAGGCAACAATATAAAAATAATTTTTAGGTTTTTTTAAATGGGACATCCTGTATTTTATTTTATATTTTAGTTGCCCTCGCTTTTTCCATTATAACACTGTAAAATAGTACGAAATTATACAGTTTTTTATGAAAATTGTATTGGTTTCAATGGCCTATTAACTGCAAAAGAAACGATTGGAAACTAATATTTTTGCTTTAAAAGGTTTTGGATATTAGTCAGAATTTTATGTTGATGCACTACTTTTTTTATTCAAAACAAATCTGTATAGGGTGAGTCAAAACTCAAATATATCATTTTCTCATTTTTTTTTAAGTCACGCCCTGTATTTTATATCGCCAATTAAAAGCATTCCCTATACCTAAAGCTAATAATTTTAGGAGATTTTAAAATTTTAATGAGAAAAAATAGAATTTAAAAAATACTTTCAATTTTAACTGATTACTGATTAATAGAAAATTGATTTTGACGCCCCAATACAGTTCATTATACTAACGTCATTTGTTTATAAAAAGTCTAGCCATTTTTTTAATATGACCTTCAGTCGTAAATAAGAAAATCTGTCAAAATAATACTTAATAAACTTAGAATAAAGCAGGTATTATGTGGAGATTTCGGTTGCTATTTTTATTTATTTTTCTACTGAATCTAAAAGTCGCATTAGGTATTGTCAAAATCTGGTTCAGTCGATAATAAATTATAGCTGGTTAAATTCCAATTACCAATTAACTAACAGTCTATTTCCTATTAACTAGTAACCGGTTAAAATTAAAATAATTTGTGAATTTTATTTTTTCTCATTAAAATTTAAAAATCTCCCAAAATTATTAACTTTAGATATAGGGAACGCTTAACTCAAATGAAACTTTAATTAAGGTACTTTTAAATGGCGATATAAAATATAGGCGGTCAATTGAGAGTTTTGACTCACCCTGTACAGATTTGTTTTGAATTGAAAAAGTAGTACATCGGCATAAACTTTTAAACCAAAACCTTTTAAAGCAAAACATTTTTTAATATTTTCTTTTGTGGTTAACAGATCATTAAAATCTGTTTTACTATTTTTTAAAAAATCACGACCGAATTAGGGTATGTCAGTCTTTTTTTATGAGAACGCTTTGCATTAACAACGGACCCATTTTAACAGTATTTAAGCAAAGAAACATTATTTCTCGTACATTTACTGGCCAAGATAATAGAGGAAAACACATATAGAATTTATAAAGTGGCACATTAATAGCTTTCCAAAAATGGAAAGCCATTATACACGGAAAAATACTAGAAAATGTACTTAGACTCTAAACTATCTATTTCCAAAATGTTTTATTTGTATAAGGAAAAATGCTTGGAAGATAATCGCCAACCAGTTTCTCAATCTATGTATAAAAAAATCTTTTGTACAAATTTTAATTTGTCCTTCTTTGTTCCTAAAAAGGACCAGTGCCAAATTTGTTGCAAACATGGAAAGAAGCTAGAAGATCAAAATTTGACTGAAGACTACGTAAGCCATATAAAAAGAAAAACTGATGCTGCAAAGGCCAAAGAACTAGATAAAATTAGAGCTAATAACGAACGTGATTTTGTATCTGTAACTTTTGATCTGCAATCAGTGCTGCAGATACCCTGTTCTGATGTATCATTAATGTATTACACTAGAAAAATTAACATGTATAACTTTACTATCTACGAGGCAGGTTTTCCAAATAAAGCATACTGCTACTTCTGGAAAAAGGGGCAGTTCTGAAATAGCTACGTGCTTATTTAAGTGGTTCCATACTCTTTCAGAAGAAGTCAAACATGTATTGCTTTTTTCTGATAGTTGCGGCGGTCAAAACCGCAACCAAAACGTGTGCGCCTTGATGCTGTATTTGACAACAAACATCGATGTCATTGAGCATACATTTCTCGAGACTCGAGAGTGGACACTCTTACATGGAGGTGGACTGCATGCATAGCGCAATTGAGAAACAAAACAAAAATTCGGCTGTATACGTAGTTCATGATTGGCTAAATATATTTAGAGGCAAGATCCAAAAGGAATAGAAATAAATTAAGGGACCCATATATTATTGAACAGGTAATGTTTAAGGACTAAGGACTTTTATCACTTTCAACATCTGGCAAAAAAAATTATAAAAAATAGATTGTGTGATACCAACAAACAGAAAGTTCAATGGCTAAAAATTAAATGTTTGCGATTTAAAAAAGATTCTCTCTACATTATCGAGTACAAGTATGATTACTTTGGGGAATACAGTCGATTGGATGTTCGTGGAAATAGAAGAAGGATTCCAGAAAATAATTTTCAAGATATGAATCTGGAAAAGCTCTATAAAAGGTTACTATCGATATACAAAGAAAAGAAATCAGATTTACTCAATTTGTGCCAGAAGGGTACTATTCCAGAAGATTATCATGGTTGGTATCAGTCTCTACCAGTCAGTGGATCTGTTAATATTGACCCAGCACCCGAACTAGACTTCAATGACAGCGATGAAGAAAAAGATGAGCTATAATTTACTTTACTTAATAAAAATTTATGAAAATAACTGGCTAATTTTATTCATTAAGTCCATCTTCTTACCCTAAAGCTATTGAAGCCAAACTCATTAAGTCAATTTTTTAATAAAATTGGTTACTTTTTATAGAAAATAATTAAATCAAATTAATTATTAAATGTAAAACCGATAAACAAATGCCTATGCACATTATTCTTACCTTGGTCAAACTTACAACTTAAAAGAAAAACATATTACGTTCAAATTTCTACGCTAAAATTTTCTTTGTTGATTTCCTCAGAACTACAATTTTTGACTTAGTGAGTTTTCGCTCTAAGCCCACAATATATAAGTTTTTACTGTGTTGATTTTTTTTAAATATTCTTTGCAGGTAATAAAAAATAGTTTAAAGGTATGTAATTGGTAACTAAACGATTGTATATTTGATGCATGTTATCTACTTACTTTATGAATATATTTATAAACATAAAAAAGCGATATAATTTAGATAAGTAAATAAGACCAACAAAACGCATAATTACATCATCACTAAAATGGCGTATTCAAATATAAAATAAAATACAAGGTGTTCCATTTAGAAAAATCCAACTCTGATATGTATCACTTTCTTGGAGAACCCTGCCTAATTAAAATTATTTATAAATTGTTGCCTTTTCTGATATACATCTCGCTATAAAAACAGATTTTAAAAAAATCAAATAGTTTTGACCCTACAGACCGAGGCGTTACCGGTGGCCCACCTTGTATAAATTTTGATTCAAATTTAAGCAATTTTTGTCTGTTTTATTTTTCAGTTTTATTGATTATAATAATTTGGGTATGTATGAAAATATAAGTATTCTAAATTTTTAAAATATTTGCGTTTATATCACTTTTTTTCTGAAAGGTCCAGGCCATATTAAGTTTTGGTACTTTATTAAGAAAGGCTATTTATTTTTATACAAAAAAATTAATAGTTATTTACATTATAGGACCGTTGTGTAGGGTATCATCCATGTGAGCAATTTAAACCCTATAAATGTCAAATATTGCACAATGTACCTATTCACAAATTATATTTTTTAGTGCCAGTTATGAAACGTTAATAATTAACAGTTGAAAAAAAAAATTCTGAAAAAAAAATATATCAAATTTAAATTTGAATTAATATTTATTGAAATTCTGTTAATTTGACTCGTTTTATAAGTTCATTTATTATCGTACAAATGTCTGTTCAAGCGAGTCAAATCGATGTAAACAAACAGCAAATGATTGTAGGACTTTTGATGAGCGATAGGAATACTTTTTACAGATGCATACAATTTTTTTTTATACATTTTTTATTTTTATCTCAGATGCATTACCACAGATACAGTTTCCATTTCTAACACAGAATGCTTTGTAAAGAGCTTCAAGGTTTCATTTTTAAGTTTAAACGATTGCACATTGCACATTGTTCCCTAAAGTGGAGAGAGAAGGTGAAGACTGTTGAGACTGAAGAAATAGAGTGCCTTACTATCAAAAGCGGTTACAACGGTCATATTTTTTTTTAATCACAACATTCAATACGTACTTATCGCACCACTGTTATCTAATGATGAGAGAAAAACACATTTTTTTTTCGATTCAGTTAAAAATAGCGAGTTCATCGCAATCAATGACCGATTAGGTCCAGTCCAAGAAACAAAAATTATTGTTCAACGTTAGTGTTAGTCTATAAGACATTGTCTGTTTGTCTTTTTTCAAGAACGACGCCTTTGGAGGCATATCGGATATAGGTCACTTTTGAAGTTTTTTAGTATTGTCAGTCCCATCCATTTTCTTTGATCATATGGGCTAGCTCGATTATGAATTTGCCTTCTTTATATTTCTGGCTGGATTCGAAAGCATGTTCCTAGAAGAAAAAAAAAATTAGTGTCAATACCTACTAAAATAATTTTGAAATAAAATAAACTCCAAGACATACGTCACAATAATTGAGCGGCAATTTCTCTCTTGCCAACTACTCCTCTGGCCAATACCTCACCATGTTAGGGATGCGCACGATGTACCGATGTTTAAAAAACATCGATTTTTCGGTTTCGATTATCGATGTTAACATCGATGTTTTTTTATCCGATGTTATTAGTTAACATCGATGTTTTAATTAAAATAGATGTTTTTAATTAACACCGGTGATTTACTTTGCGATGTTTTTTGGTTTTTCGTTAAGCGTTATGTTTCAATTGATGGATTGAATTCCTTTTTGTTAAGCGTTATTTTTCAATTGATGGTCTGAAGTCTTTTTTTTGCTCTTCAATGAACGTTTTTGGAAAAAATTGATGTTTACAGATACATCGATGTGTGGAGAAACAAACATCGATGTTTAGAAAAATCGATATTTTCTTTACCGATTTTTTTATAATATCGATAATCTGTATTCGATGTATCATTTGATGTCAACATAGATGTTTTAAAAAATTTGCGCATCCCTACCCCTGGTATTGGAATTACATCAAAAGAAAAAGGAAGAGATGAAAAAGGAAGAGATGAAAAATATTTTCAACACTATCTTTAACTTTGGACCGTTTTCGTCCTTTTATGACTCTCCAGCAAGAAATAGAAAATCTCAACTCCAGTCCCTATTGGAGTCTGATGGAAATTGCAGTACTTTTTTTAGTTTAATATTGACTTCTTCATACGTATAAGTTTTTACATTTTTCTAGGACAATTTATTTTCCTTATACCTTGCTATAGGAGTTATCCTACTTTTTAGGGTGGTTTGTCCTGATTACAATAAGTAACCTAGTTAGCTTCTTTAAGTTGTCGTGTGCGCGTGTGGGACCTGTGTGGCAGGTTGTGTTCCCTGAAAATATCGCCAATTTTGCTATTTCCAACCTCGTAGGGAAAGCACGAAAACCTAAATCACGATATTGTACAAATAGTATGAATTTCTAATTATAAGATTGGGAAGGGTTTTATCTGATGTTTAGGGGGGTTAATTCCAGCAGATCCTGGAGTTCAGCGGTGAGGGGTAGGTCTTGGGAGTCTTAGATTTGGTTGTGGCATTTTTCTTTTCGGTTTTCGAAAAAGTGGGAGCCGGCGTGGGCGCCATGGGGTTTGTAGTGTGTCTTGTGAGTGTGTGTTGGTGCCTTTCAGCGTGGGAGAGACGTATTGTTTCCTGAGCGTTTGGAAACGTGTGGGGATGGGGGTGTTGGAGATGTTATCGAAGACTTCTCCGCTGGGAGAGCGATAGGGGAGGTATTGGTAACGTCTGAGTATGCGTCTCTCGAGTGTGGTGAATTTGTGGGCCAGGTGTATGGGAAGTAAGCCGTAGAGTACAGCTTGGTATTCGGCAACGGGGCGGATAAAGGAATTATAAGTGTGAATTAGGGTGTTTGTATTGGAACGCCCCATTCGTCCGCACAAAGCCCCAAGGAGACTGGCTCGTTTTCGCATCTTATCAAGAGAGCGTTGGACATCAGAGGACCAGTTGAGTGTACGAGAAAATCGTATCCCCAAATAGTCAACTTCAGTCTGTTGAGCGAGCCTGATTCCCAGGAGATTTACATTTACGAATTGGGGATTCTGGGAGGTTCTTTGAGAATTTGGGTGTTTAAAGGACGATAAATTGTGTTTTCTGTGGATTTAATTAGACCCTCTATTTGCTACACCAGTGAGAATACTGGTTTAACAGTTTTTGGGTTCGAGTATTTAGTTGGTTCGAACGTTTGGCTAACGAGATTAAAGCTATATCGTCGGCGTATAGGAGGCATTTGGACGTAGGATGGTTAAGGGGGGAATGTCGTGTGTGTAGATGAGGTAGAGGAGAGGGGCCAGGACGGAGCCCTGTGGGACGCCCGCAAGTGGGGTAAAAGTGTCTGACAGGGAGTTGCCAACTTTGACGGTGATTTTTCTACCTGTGAGGTAGGAGTGTATGGCAGTACGAAATTCACTGGTACATATTAACAGCGGGTTGAGATATATATTGAGCGAAAATGGTAACGCCATCTGTACTTAGTAAGCGAAATTAAAGGTCGCTGTAGTACCTAGTTCAGAGACTAGATGGAATAAAAGGCAGGTAAATAATATTATTGTGACGCATGGCTTTGAATTTATTTTGATTGTATTTTACGTCTTGGTCACATTTGAGTTTGGAATTATTTTCTTTTTTACTAAAATTTTGGTTTTAAAGGCGGCGTCTGGCCATATCTCGAAAAGTTTTTATCGGGTCAATTTCGCATTTTTTTTCTCAAAATCCAAAATACTCAAAAATGTTTTTAACTTTGTAACTTTCCGCTATGTCACGTGATATATTACATACAAAATATAATTGTGTTTTCATAAAATTAGCTTTCAAGAAAACTAAACAAGATTTTGAAGTGTGATGTGTTTCATTATTTTCCTGTGTTAGTTGTAAAGGTTGTAACGGAAAGAAAAGATATAAATATATTTAGTTTTAAAGAAAAATTTCTAGGTGATAACATGTGGTTTAGGTACAAAATGTCAAAGTCATTTTTCGAGTACTTTAAAACAACTCCGTTTCTTAAGACGTGTTTACAACCCCCAGACACACTTCATGAACGGTTTTCAATATTAAAATTAATGACAGAAAGTATATTTTTCCCGAAAACTACGTTTAAAGTCAACCCCGCATATACAGCAAATTTCTATGGACGAACGCCAACCTTAAAGGCATTATAAAAGGTTGAAAAAGAATAAACAGTAATATTTTTTCATGAGGGATGATTTGAAATCGCCCAATATTAATGGATTCAGTATATCTCATTACCTAGATACTGGGTGTTTTATGGATTTCGTATGAATATTTATTTGGCCAAAACTCAATAACCATTCGATGTAATAATTTCAAATTTGGCAAATAGTTTTTCTCGATAGGTATAACAAAAATATTGCCACACAAACCATAATTAAAATACAGCTCCAGCTTGAGAAAATTTGGCCAAACAATACCCTAAATAACAAAATTTCGCATTTCAAAAGAGCGGAAATAAATTATTTAATTAGGATATTTTCAATTTCCGTATTTCGTGTAGAAGCCCTAATTTTTTATTAAAAATTAGCTTTTTAACAATTTGCCAACTTTAAAATTTTAAAATTATTTATTTCCTCTTTGATGTTATCTATTCGATCAGAAAAATAATATTTGTTACAATCAACGACGAAAAACTAATGCACTAATTTTCTTTAAAAAAAATCGAATTGCAAACATTCATGTAGTTGTCAAATTATTATGAGTGAGTATGGGAGAGTTATGTTACAAGCATTCTTTATGGCTATCATTCGGTATTGACTAAACACAAAACTTTAAAAATTACATTAGAAAAGTATATTTGCATTCTTAATATCAGTTTAATACATTTTTTCTGTTTGCAACTATTATAGTTGTATGGTGTTTATCAGGAAAGTACGCAATTAATTTTATTTACAACCATATATGTAATGTTGTCATTACTAACGTCATTGAAGGTTGGGAAGTGACACATTACACACCTCTACTTCCCGCCCTCACTTCCCGCCCTCATTTCATCTATTCTAGATGAATATTTTTTATATTTAAAAAAACACATTCTTTTGACAAATTTTATAATACCTATTTAATGGCAAACAATAAAAAACAACAATGAACTAAAATACAACAAACTACTTATTTATATTTATTATTCGCGAATTTAATATCCGGCTTTATCTGATATTTATTTATATAGGGATCGTGCGTGAAATATAGAGGCAGCACTACTGCCGAAGTTAGCCCTCTCTAGTGTTTAATTTTAGAATTAAATGGGGTAAACATTGCAAGTAAATAATAAAGGATATTTTTTAAAATATTAAATATAGTTAAATATAGATACCGGTCCGTACCAAACAATCGAGTACATGGTCAAAATGATATAAAATGTAAAACATTATTAAAATCTGGACATGTATATACATTTTAAGCAAAAACATTTAAATGACAAAGTGACAATAAATTGTAAAGTTGTACCTCAAACAAGTGTATCCAATGTCAAAATATCGGTATTTAATAACACTGAATTTAAAAGTATTACAATAACATTTAAAAAATGTAAATTAATAAAAAAGATTGGGAATAATAATAATTCTTTTTAGCTTCATGTTTGACGAAATGTCATTCATCCACTGACGTTTATGAGACGCCCAATGATATACATATTATAGATTGCTCACCCATCTATAAAAAATTACGAAAAGTGGGTTGCAATGTGCCTTTCCTAGTGCTCACTAAATAGAGCCGTTCTAGCCCAAATGTGTTTTAATATAAGATTTCCGCATTTCTTTAGAAAAAGAAAATAATTAAAGTTTTACGTCAAGACATGTTATTATGTATTTGGAAAGTTGAGTTTCCATGTAGTTAAATAATATTAAGAGATCTAAACAATTTTTAAAACAGATGGATATAAATAACTTTAGATTACTCTCATTTCAGAAATAACACTACATAAAATACATAATTGCAATATGTAATACAATTTTGAAAAGGGAATGTAAACAACTTTGGCCAGAGTTGTAATTGGGAACATCTATTATTCTGAATAATTTTTAATGGTAATGTCACTTAAAAAAAATTTCAAAACTCACTGAATTTTTAATATTTTAAAGTTTGTTGCAATCTCTTCTGACAGCACTTGCAATGTATTATTTATGATTTGTTTATTTTAGTAATAAATGAGAAATAGTTAATAAATTGTAAAGAAGGCTATAATATTTTTGTCAAATTGGACATACTTATTTCATAGTAACATTCTACACTAGTTTTAATCAACAGAATAAACCATTAATTATCTGTAAAATTATATTTATATAAAATGTTCATTTAAATATGTAAAAATCTGAATGACAAGAAAACACTAAAGATTCTAATTTCTAAACCGGTTCTGTAAATGATTTCTTTACAACTAAGTGCTCAAAATTGATACAATCTAGATAAAAAAAAACTTTGCCCAGTGAAATACGTTTTTCGTCGTCTGATTTACATATGGATAAGCAATCTATATAAGTATGTATATCATTGGGTGTGAGACACTAATTCTGCTCTGTGGAAATTTATAAAATTTCTTTACTATCGAATTAAATCCAGGTTTCCAAAGTAATGTGTTCGTACATCCACGGATGCAACAAGTTTTTTCGATAATGATATTACGAAAATAATTCGACTTTATTTAATTAATAAATATTAAACAATAAATGCCGTATAAAACATTAATAAATATCCCCCATAAAGTTCAAATTTTTGTCACCAGTTAGCGTTAAAGTCATGACGCACGGTCCCTATTGGTGACAGTTGTTTACCCCGTAATCACAGTAACAATATATTTACTTGATTATTCTGAGGAAACCGCGCGTTGGGTAATTTGTCGTTAAATGTAATATTTTAGGTATGTTCAGAACGAAACAGAGATTTATTAACTTGATCGAAATATGTAAATAAAATAGTATACAAACCTCGGTAGGAAGTTTCATTCCTGTCTCGAGATCATAGCTAACCTCGACGCTTCGCGTCTCGGTGATCTAACTAATCTCACGACAGGAATGAAACTCTTCCCACCTCGGTGTGTAATATACTATTAAAGTGTGACAGCAGTATAAAGCAATCGTAGTAGACGTAAATACTGATTCATTCATAAAACGTATGCTCGCTCCTCAAATAAACATACTCGCACAAACCACCCCCACTCAAATTAGCAGCTACCTCCTTCTTTCTAATATGGCAGCCGAAATATTAAACACAATATAAATGATTGCAATAAAAAAGAGCTTAATTATGAATGAATGGATTAGTCTAGTAGTTTTTTGTCGTTGGTTACAATACTTGTTAACAATATTTTTTGTTTTCTAAATTGTAATTTTGCTGTACACATTCGAACAGCAGTTGCCATATCAATGTGAGAATTGAATTTCTACTATAACGGTATTAAAAGTAATAACTTACATATTTCCAACCTAGGGTGGTTTTACAACATTCACAATAAATATCTGCGACTGCATGAAGACCCGTTAGTAGGACTCGTTCTTCAGCAGGACCGCAACCAACATTGACACTAGAAAGAAAAACAAAAACTGCGTTTAGTTAGATATTTATAAACGAGAATTGGCAGCGTTGCTAAAATATGTACGGAATTTCCTAAATACATTTAAGAAATTCTGGGTATGATCTTAATATATTCAATTTTAAAATTAAAATTCAAATAAGGATTTGGCATGATTTATGCTTTAAGCTGAGAACAGGGAGATGACAAGTCATTTCATACGCAATTGATAATGACAAAAACAAGAAAAATAATGAAAAACATTTTGAACAAAACTGTAGAACAAGAAAAATGATGGTACTAGAGCTAAACCAAGAAAAAACAAAAGATAATAAAGCAACATCAAAAGGTATAGGGAAACGAAGTGGCAAAGTTTAAATATTTTGAAATCACAATAGATAGAACTGGAGACAGAAAAATGTTTTTCTTTTTCTTAAATTCTAAAAAAAAAAAACAATTTAAATTGTTTTTATTTAATATTTGTGTTTCAATTTCTTTAAAAAATTCTTAGCAATTGAAATATTTAATAGATATTTTTATTAGGCCGATACTGATATAAGCCGATATAGCACTCTACATATCTGCCGATACCGATATCGGCTAATAGGGCCAATATACCGATACCGATATCAGTATCGGTCGATCCCTATTCCTTTCATTTGTACAATATTGTAGCTTTTTTAATGAAATCATCAGACATTATTAATCTATAATCTATCTATATATAGGGTATAGACAATTTAAATGCACACTATTGTGATTCCTTTAACCATTGAAGACTACAAATTCGGTTCAATGCAAAAAAGTTTCCAAAATATCAGGTCCGGTTTCCAAGAAGAAAACTAAATAGGTAGGAGTATTTTCTATTTTTGGCTTAGGAGTTTTTATTTAAAAAAAATAGCAAAGCAGTTTACTTCAGATCATAGACACAACCAAGCGAATTTTTAATTAATTTGTATCATTCTTTGTAGGATTTGATGGGTGCCGTATTAGCATCAATTTAATTTATGTTGATACAACATCCAGATTACAAGTCGCATTGAGTTACCGTTTCACTAATGTTGGGTGGGGGATAGGGGGGTGGGTAACTCAGTGATAAAGTCTCTGCCTGCGGATCCAAGGGTCCCAGGTTCGAATCCCACCATTGGCCGGGATTTTTTATTTAATTTAATTATTTAAAATTAATTCTGATGCCTTGGTAGGATTCCCCACTCGACCACTCACTGTTAGGTTCTAATTAACAGTGCTGTTCCTAAAGTGCCACTGGGAAACAGTAACAAAGCCTACACATAACACGAGGCGAAATAACCTTAGCAGTTAAAGCCGATGACCCCCAAAAAAAAGAAATAATAATATTAATAATAATAAGCCGTCCCTTCCCTAAACAATCAGTCGGCTTCTGGGGTTAATAATATGTGTATTAGACTATATAACGTTTGGCGTCTGAAGAATATTTTTAATAAGGACCTGTATTTTTTATTTAATTTTTTCTAAAGCACTCCTAAATCCTAATACTATAATTTACATTAACCGTATTCTTATTAACGTTGAGAAAATGATTCTACTTTTTATAACAGATATTTAATAGGTACATTTTAAGTTTTACAATGGTAAATCTTAATTTGATTATTTAATATGATATTTATTGGATTATACTAAAAATCATTGATTAGCAAAAAAAGACATTAAGAAGTGTCATTAATGAACGATTCCGTATATTAATTAAAATCATAAAGACACGGTCGACGAAAAAAATGGACTAATAAACAATAATATATGTATAAAAGTCTAGTTTTGCTTAATTTTTAACACACATTGATAAAAAAATTATATGTAATAAAAAGTACAAGTATTAATGTATTACGGATTAATATAAAAATACTTACACAGAATTAAATAGATAAGCCCGACCTTGGCTACCTTGGAACGACTGAAAAAAAAAACAAAGATTAATTTAAATGCATCATACACTGTCTATTTGGTAAAAATCTAACGCAAGTCGGCAGTTGATCGAGAATATAAAAGAACCTGACAAATAATGTGACAAAAAAAAGAGATGCATTCCTCCCACACATCACCTCTCGTTGTTACTTTCATATTTACTATATTAAGTTTCATTGCGTTTTCTTAAAAGCGCAGTGCGCGTGCGAATTTTTATTATAAATGTATTTTCAAATGCTATCTACCTAATATTCGTATTTCCGAAGCTACCAATGTGAAAATTAAATAATTAAAAGTTAAATAAAGACTTATTAAGTTAAAGCGAGAGACTAGTTTTGTAAAAGTGGGCGACTAGTTTCTAGTCGCACACTCTCTGTCTACAGTTCCGTCTTTACCCTATGAGTCCAAGGCTCCCGACCTGATAGGGGACTTAAAATGCCGAAGCTCGGTGTTTATATATTTTTATTAAATTATAATCAATTTTAAAACACATTGGTTTCTTAATTAACAAGACTATTCCATCTTGGTTAGCGCTAAAAGTGTAAAATCCATAAATCGTTTAAGTATAAAGCACCAAAACCTGGGAAAATAGGATAGGAAATGGCAAAGTCCCTAAGACCAATAAGTCTTATGTCCTTGGTACTTAAGACTTTGGAAAAACTGCTAGATAGGCATATTAGAGACGGGATATTAGTTCAGAGGCTAATATACCAAGACCAATACGCCTATAGTGCAGGGAAATCAATTGAAACAGCTCTCCATTAATTAATAAAAGGGGTGGAGAACACACTGGAAAACAAGGAGGTAATGCTGGCAGCATTCTTGGATATCGAGGGTGCATTTGACAATACCTCCGTTGAATCGATCATTAGATCTCTCAAACACAGAGGAATCGAGGACACGTGCGTGTCCTGGATCGACTCTATGTTAAGGGAGAGAACTATACACACAACCCTTATGAGAGAGACAATAGGGGCACGGGTAACGAGAGGATGTCCGCAGGGTGGAGTGCTGTCTCCACTCCTTTGGAACCTTGTAGTGGACGGGCTGCTTAGGGCTCTTAAAGATAAGGGACATAGAACCCTGGGATATGCCGATGATATAGTGATCATGGCACAGGGAAATTCAACATTATAGTAAGAGATCGATTGCAAGAGGCTCTAAATATAGTAACAAAATGGACAGAGGCGGAAGGACTAAACATTAGCCCAAACAAATCTGACATAATTGCATTCACCCACAGGAGGAAATTGGAGGGACTAGGGCCTCTAAACCTAAGAGGTGCAAGCATCCAGCTTAAGGAGGAGGTAAAATATCTCTGAGTTATGATTGACTCGAGACTTACCTGGAACCAGCATCTAGAAAAAACCACAAGGAGAGCAGAAACCTTAATAATGGCAAGGCGATCCTTTGGAAAAAAATGGAGGTTAAAACCAGACATGGTATATTGGCTTTATAACATGGTGGTGAGACCGATAATAACATACGCAGCTTTGGTGTGGTGGCCAAAGACACAGCAAAGGAAAGCAATAACGAGGCTAAGCAAGGTACAAAGACTTGCCCGCCTCAGAATAACGGGGGCAATGAAAACCCCCACTGCTGCAATGGAAGCACTAATAGGACTCCCACCTCTTCACTATGTGATACAAGGGGAGGCAAGATTAGGTGCTTACAGATTATGGAATACACTGGGGAATCTTGACATTAGGCCAGGTCACATGAGTATCTCAAGGTTAGTGACAGAAGACGTGCTAGATATGAGATCAGACCACATAACCAAGAGGTACTCTTTTAATACTCCATAAGGGAGACCAATGCCCAACGACAGGAACTAACCTGGTATACAGACGGGTCTAAGACTGCGGAAGGCACTGGGGCGGGAGTATTCTCCAAAAAATACTAACCATAGCATGCTACAGGAATACATTCCTCGGTATTTCAGGCCGAGGTATACGCAATTTTGCAATGTGCAAAAACAAACAATGAAAGAGCTGTCGAAAATCAGCATATTCAAATAATGTTATACAGCCAAGCGGCACTTAAGGCCATATCGAGTCAGAAAGTTAGGTCGAGGCTGGTATGGGAATGCATCTAAGAATACTGGCAGACCGAAATAGAGTAAAACTATTTTGGGTGCCAGGTCACCAAGGGATCGAAGGCAATGAAAAGGCTGACGAACGAACGAAAGAAGGTCAGAAGAAACACCGGAATCAGACACACACCTAGGAATACCAAAAAGTACAGTCCGGGGTTTCATAAACGACTGGATTCGGGAACAACATATCAACTATTGGGGAAGCACCCCAAAACAGGCACATGGAAAAGCCTTCATAGGCAGACCATGTCCCAAAAGAACTGGAGAACTACTCTTTATGAATAGGAACCAGTTGAAAGTGATAACAGGGTTCATGACTGGGCACGCCCCAGTAAAGGGACACTTGAACAAAATTGGCATGTACAATGGGGAATTCATATGTCGACTATGTCACAAGAAACCAGAAACGGCCAAACACATACTGTGCGAATGCGAAGCTCTAGATCGCAAAAGACAGGTTCTTTCTGGACAACCCCAGGTTGATCCAACAACATATAGAACCCATTCACCCAAGGATCTGTACAAACTTGTACAAGGTACAAAGGTGACAGAGTGGGTGCTATGAACTATCATGAGGTAAAACAAAATAAGCCAATAGGCAAACAGACGAGCCCAGGAGAAAAAAAAAAGTATGAAGCATCATAAATAAAATTGTACTTTTAAGGAAAGTCTTTTTATTTTTATAAGTCTCTATCACAATAATAAATATTTTTTGCAATTAGGAATATTTCATTCATTTCGTATTTGAAATACATTTCAAATTTTATTCTTATTTGTGCATTTCCTAACTGCTTACATAAATATCTATAAGATTAAGAGGCATGTACAAATTATAAAAATCCACATAAATATTGATACAAATTTGTAATTTAATTTGCATTTAATATAACACGTCAGTATTTATTAAATTATTAATATCAAAATTAGTGCGATCACACTGAAAACTACAATAAATGTAACTAATTTATAATCCGGACCTTTTAAGGCGCTATACTGTTACCATAACATCTGTCTAGTAGTTCCACATAGGGATGCGCAAATTTTCTAAACCTCGATGTTGACATCAAATGATACATCGAATACAAACTATCGATACTGTAAAAAAATCGGAAAGAAAATATCGATTTTTCTAAACATCCATGATTTTCAACAACAATTGATTAAAGAGCAAAAAAAGGTCGCCAGACCATCAATTAAAACGTAAAGCTTAACAAACATCGAAAAAGAAATTATCGATGTTTAATAAAAACATCGATGTTAACTAATAACATCGGATAAAAAACATCGAAAATCGAAACCGAAAAATCGATGTTTTTTAAAACATCGATACATTGTGCGCATCCCTAGTTCCAAATTATTTTAAATAGTTGCATGGTATGTCATCTCCTCTCCCTACTTCATATGGAAACATACCATATACGAAATGTTAATTTTTGAAAACATGTATGAGATAACATATCAGCGTAATATTTTTTCACATTTACTCCTACATTATAGCCTACAGCTTTAGTATCACGTGTGTGGGGATAAAGTAATAAATAAATTTTAATTACCTTAATAAATCCATGTGGGCCGAATTTTTTTTATTCATATAAATTATTTGGAAATTCTCAAAAATACATTTTTTTAAATTATCCTATGAAATAATGAACATTATTTTTGAACCCCAAAAGTGAGAACAAAATAACTGAAAAATAAAAAAAGTCCGTCCCGGAATAGGATTCTCGATTAAACCGATCTATCATTACATGTGTTTACGGTGTTACTTAATACAAACAGACGACCTAGGGGAGGATCTGCATGCGTCAGGCATGTTTCCTTAGACGATGCTGTACTAGCGGTTGATTGAAAAATGATTATGTCACCGTTTAAGATTCGAATCTAATATAAAAATTAACAATTCGGAATCCGGACATTTAATGTCCTGATGGCCGAGGAGTACGACAGCGTGCGTAAAACGCGAATCCTATCCCGGCTCAAGATTAAAAAACAAATTCGTTTTCACTTTGGGGATTTAAAAATAATTTTCATGATTTATAAAAATATATTTGGTTAAAAAAGAAGCATATATAACCATAACAAAATAACTAGGTACGGCACTGTATAAAATTGCAGGCGACAAGAAGCGCACATTTAATTTAACACGTAGTCATATTTATTTTCACGCCAGTTTCCAACAGTAACCGAATGTAAGCAATTAAGAATCACGGCTTCTTGTCGGCAATTTTTTTGCGAATGTTCACTGTAAGGCTAGGGCCCTAGACGGTCAATAATTTTGCACAGTATTTTTATTGTGTAATAATATTGTAGTACCCCTCAAACTCAAACGATCAATATTTATGGCACAATAGTATTGCCGGGTCGGGTCAAACATCTGCTGCTCAAACGAACAACGAATGATTAAATTATTGTGCAAAATAACAAAAGAATATCACGCCAAGAAACATTCATTGGTACAATCGACAGATAGGGCGTGACTAAACATTAGCATAGTTCATAAAATAAGCCTTTGATCTTCTGTGAACATTATTTTGCCGACGAAGTCCCGGTAAATAAACGTTGGCCGTCTCTCTTATGAACCGTACGAACAGTGACAGATCTACATCGCCTGCCGAATACCTGCTGGGTTTTTTAGGCGGGGTAGAGAGGAACTCTTTGTCGGCTTCTGCCCGAGTGATTCTACTAGTCTTGTTTATCTGCGATGATATTGGTACGTCATCGTCCTAACGACTAAAAGCTATAACATATTGTTTTAAAACAATCATTCCATTATAGTGATGGGTCTCCAATCTGTTATTTTCAAATAACAGTTGCAACTACTACTGTTATCTAAAAACAACAGTTGTAAATAATAGATAACTGTTATTTATATTTTGGCACAATTCCATAGCTAG